GTCTATCGAGGAGAATCATCGGCACGACCATGAATCCATTAACAGGACAGGTCATTCTTGTTCGATATTACTGTAAGTCATGAATAGATGGAAGAGTCCCAAAACCAAGAAATGTTTTGAGAATATTTGGCAGCACTCAGTTGCCCGTCAATCTTCGTGGGTCTTCAATCTCTATGGCCACTCGAGATCTCGCCAGTTCAGATTTAAGAACAACTGCATTCTCAATAAAAAAAGGCGTCGATGGGGATCGAACCAAAACCTTGTAATTATCTGTCTAACTCTTCACTAACTGAGCTATTTGGATCTTGTGCATTCTAATATCTAATCAGCTATATAATCTTATCAAATTACACAATATTACGAAATAAAAAAAGTTGGATTCGAACACGCTGCGAAAGCGTGTGCACATGTTCAGAGCGCGACGCTTTAACTTTAGCGCTAATGCGGTTTAGCGATGAGCGTCCACAAAGCGGACTAGTTATTTGTCTTAAATAAATAAATGGATTCTTTACCTATTCATTTTATTAAAACAGATGAAAAAGAATATTATAACATTAATAAATTAGCGCCAAAATGGCCTTTTATATTAATAATTATAGGACGAAGTGGTTCTGGTAAAACAAATACTGTTGTCAATCTTTTAAAATATTTATTTTTTGATACTTTTTATTTGTATGCAAAAGATTTAGAAGAACCGTATTATCAATTATTACAAAATGTATTTGATGATGAAAAAATTCGTGGACAATCGTACTTTTCATCAGATATAGAAGACATTGTCGATGTAGACGAACTAGATAGAGATAAACAAAATTTGATTGTTGTTGATGATTTTGTAACGGAAAAAGATCAAAAGAAACTGATAGATTTAGCTATACGGGGAAGAAAAATGAATGCTTCAATGATTTATATAACGCAGGATTGGTATAGAGTACCAAAATCAATTCGTTTACAATGTAATTATATTTCAATATTTCCATCCTGTGATGGTAATGATATAAGTTTAATATTTAGAGAAAAGGGATTGGATAAGAAACTTAGGGAATATTATGAAAATAACATTAAATCTTTTGATTGCTTAACTGTTGATTTTAAAACTCCTGAAATGAAATATAGGAAGAATTTTACGCCCATAAATGACATCTGAATACGCTTCGCTCGTGAGGACTTTGCCTGAATACGTTCTTAGAAAAAATAGAAAAAAAGGAGGTAAATCAACAAGAGGACCACCTGGTATAGGATTTAATCTAACAGAAAATGGTGATTATGATATCGCAGGACACAAATTAGTTAATGTAAAGCAACCTGAAAATCCTGGCGATGCTGTTAATTTACAATATTTAACGTCAGCGTCCACAAAGTGGAATAGTGCGCGCGAAGCACTAGTCCATGAAATGGACGTTTTGCATGCTACTGTGGATAAAGTCAATGATAATATGATTAAAAAAGATGATTCTCAAAGTATTCTAAAAATTGTTAAACCTGAACTCAGTAATATGATTAAAAAAGATGATGCAGAAACTATTGTAAATATTGTTAAACCTGAACTCAGTAATATGATTACAAAAGATGATTCTCAAAGTATTTTGAAAATCGTTAAACCTGAACTCAGTAATATGATAAAAAAAGATGATTCAGAAAGCGTTTTAAAAATTGTTAAACCTGAACTCAGTAATATGATTAAAAAAGATTCATTGAATCTAACCGCTACAAGAAAATATATTGATATTGGTAATAGAAGATTAGTTAAAACTGCTAATGCAATTGATAAGTATGATGTTGTCAATAAAGGGCAACTAGATGATACCTTAATCAATTATGGACATTATTCTTTTTTACAGTTTGTAGGAAAAATTCGTTTTATTAAAGAAGTTGATGGACAAAAGGCTGTTACTGTGCTTTTCCTTTATTTTGATGGTGAAGGATTTATTAGATTGCCAATGGATGTGGAAGTTGTAAAATTCTACTCAACGGCTAATTTGAAAGATTTGAATATCAGTAATAATAAAGGAACAATAGATGTTTCTAAACCCTTTATTGTTAGAGAATCTGATCTTTTATCTTTTATGATAAAAAAAGAAAAAGTAAACACGGATGAAAATCTCGGTGGTTATAACCATAATAAACCTTATCTATTAAGTACTCCAATTTTCTTTTATATGTTAGTCAAGTTTTCTGTATAACGTCTTTGACCTATGCACAATCGCTTCGCATGCTACGCACTAGTCCACTGTGTGGACGCTCATGAGGGCTTCGCCTGAATTATTTACAAAATAAAACATATATAAATGGAAAACAATATAGTAATCAACTTAAATGAAAATGGTATCTCTACTCTCTGTTGTACAGTAAATGGTAAACAAATTGAACTTAATCTGACAGAAGATGAAGAAGTTGAAATTTTACGAAAAATTAGTATTATTTTATTAACAAAGTCTGATGAAATCAGTCCAGAGTCAAAGGCGAAGTCCTTATAAGGAAATGAATAATTAAGGATGTTTATTAATTCTTTTATTAATGTCTCCATTAATTACAAAAAACAAATATAACTGGAAAAGTTACAGATATTATCTAAATATGTTTTCTGTATAATAAATGAATACTTATTGTTTTAAATGTAAAAAAAACACAGGTAACAAAAATATAATTGTTAAAGAAGATAAAAAGGGCAAAAATTATTTCTCATCACTATGTCCTGCATGTGGTAAAAAGAAAAGTACATATAAAAGAATCGGCCTGCGGAGCCGTGGTCCCTTTCAGGGGCGCTCATGAATTAGAATCAAATAAATGGATTATTGTAAAATATGCAAAACGAAAACTAAATCCACTGGAGAACCAGAATTTGCGCGAAGCACTCATGGCCGAAGGGAATTTATTGTAAAGTATAAACGCTGGAGAAGAATATCAACTTGCAGAAATTGTCAATCAGTGAAAAATAATTTTTCAAAATCACCTGAAGATATTTTAATTATTGAATTATTCAAACCTGCTAGGAAAAACTATGAAACACGAGTATTCCAACACAAAGGTCTTGATGATACTTGGCAAATAGATATTTATGTTTTCTATAGACCAAAAGGTAAATCAGAAGATCCAAGTTATAATTTAAGAACAAAAGAGGCAAAGCCGAAGACGAATGATTTTAATAAATTTAAAAAGATCAACAAGGGATTTATCTATATTCTAGTTGCTGAAGACACCTTTTCTAAATTTGTATGGGTAGAACCTTTAAAAACTAAATCAGGATTAGAAGTAGCTAATGCATTTTTAAAAATCATACAACAAGCGATTAAAGATAAACACAATCCACCAAAAAATTTACATGCTGATAAAGGAAAAGAGTTTTATAATAAAGATATGAGGATCGTTTTAAATAAATACAATATCAATCTTTACAGTACAGGAACAAAAAATAAAGCTTTCTTTGTTGAGAGGTTCAACCGTACTTTAGGAAATAAATTCAAGCCAATATTATATGACAGTTTTGATTGGATTTCACCACTTCCAAAAATTATAAAATCTTATAACAATTCTTATCATACTACTATTAAAATGAAACCAAAGGATGTAAATAAAGGAAATGAAAGAAAATTGTTAGAAACCGTATATATGATTACATTAACAAATAAAAAACCAAAATTTGAAGTTGGCGATAGAGTTAGATTATCAAATATGGTTGACATATATCGTAACAAATTAAAAACAAATTGGACAGAAGAAATATTTACAGTTGTAGAAAAACGTGTATATAATGTTTGGATTTATTTTGTTTCTGATCTTAATGATGAAAAAATTAAAGAGGGTATATACGAAGCAGAAATGCAACTAACATTATTATAAGAATTATTGAAATAATACAAATAAAAATATATATAATTTTTTTCTTTTCTTTTGTTAATTCAACAATCTTTAAGTTTGCCTTGATTAATAAATTCGCTGTATTCATTTATTAACTAGAGAAAGAGTGTTTGCTAAACGTCTTTTTGCTCGTTCTTTATTGTTATACCTAATAACAGGATTTTTATTCAGTAATGCGTTTATTTTTTCTTCATCATAACTATTTACATCTTTTAATTCTTGTTCCAATACATTAATTTTGTTATCTTTATGCTCGATTTCTTCGTCCATCTTTTCTATTGTTTCAACTGCAGCATTTCCTAATTCTTTTAAAATTCTGTTTTCCATATACAGTTGATTAGATGCTTTAACTTTATTGCCAACAGATAAATTATTAAACTCAATGCAGTCTTTTTTTATTCTATTTTGAATAATTTTTACCTGATTTTTGTCTGCAACATCAATTAGTGCCATTATTTATTAGATAGGGAATTTATAGTCTTATTAAAATTTTTATCAAATTCTTCTTCAGCCTCTTTTGTACTGCCAGCTTTCAGGGACGCTTTGTAATCTGATTGGGATGTGTTTGATTTGTGTTTAGATTTAATTTGTTTCTGTTTTTTGTTATATTGTTCTATATTGTTTGATTTTTTGTTATGTTTAATTAATGTTTCACCAGTGAGAAATTTTATTTGATTCCTAATTGTATTTTCACCAATTTTATTCTGTTTAGCAAACTCTTTTAAGGTAATATTTTTAGAAGTAGGGTCTCCTTTTTGTGCTAAAAAATTTAATGCTAATTGTCTTGATCGCATATTATTTAAATTCTTCACTGACGGAATACTAGACTCTGTTAATGTGTAATCTTTTTTAATTATTATGTTTATCTTTTGTTTAGCTGACTGTTCCCTTTTGGTATTATGAGTCATTTATTATGAAATAATATCTTTCTAATAAATGGATAAAAAAGTTTGTAAAAACTGCAATACTGAAAAAGATTTGGACAATTTTTATCCAAATAAAAAAAGCAAAGGTGGTTATTCAACTTTGTGTAACATATGTTGGAATAAACAATATAGAGGTAAAAAAATATTATGTAAGTGCGGTAAATTAGTAGGAAAGCAATACTATCCAAAACATATCTTACTAACATATTATAATCATTGATAAAGTTTAAGAGTTTTGAAAAAAATATTTTGCAAAAACTTTTTTCTTATAAATGGAAATACAGAAAGATCAACTTCTTAAAATGAGTCTTGAGGAAATTGTAAAACTTACTAAAGGGGATTTAAAAAAAGTGGGTGAAATAATTGAACAAATTAATAAAGATGTCGAACCAGAATCGTCTTCTAGTTCATCTTCAACTCATAAATCGTCTTGGATGAATAAATATTTTTTAACACCAACATCAGCTAATGAAATTGTACTAAATAAACTAAATTTGAAAAAATTAAAAACCATTGCAAGAAGGCAAGGTTTAAAGAACTACTCAAAATATAACTCAAAAACTAAATCAGATCTTGTAAAATTAATTTTAAAAGAAGAACTCAATGCTGGAGATTGGCATAACAAACTAAGCAGGATTAGTATTAAAAAATTAAAATCAATTGCTAGCAAACTAAACTTAAACATAAAGAGAAATAGTAAAAAAATAGATCTATTGAATCAAATTTCAGATAATGTAAACAATGATAATTTAAACACACTTCTTAATGAAATTGAATTGCCAAGTCTAGAAGAAATATTGAAGGAAATATTGAAGGAAATATTAGAGAAATCGACACAAAATAAAACGTTGAAAGAACTAAGAAAACTTGCCAAAGAAAAGAATATCAAAGGTTACTCAAAAATGAAGAAAGCAGAATTATTACAAAAAATTGGTGAGGAACCTTTTGCAATCGAAGATGATTATTTTTCAGAGTTTTCAACAAAACCTAAATTTAAAATAATAGAAACAAAAGCTGAATACAGCAAAAAATGGAATACACATAAAGTTTACTATAAAATTATATTATTGAAAGATGAAGAAGAATCGTTAGAGTCCGATGTTTCTGACATAATTATGAAAAAAATTAGTATCATTAGAGAAGGATTGAATGATATGATTAAAACAGTAAAAGAGAAAACAAAATTTAAACAAGGAGACTTATTAAATATAGTAGTTAACCACACCCATCTTTGGACACCTATTTCCACCGGATTATCAAGAACGACTGATGTTGATAATTTATTAAACAAAATTCAACGTATCTTAACTTCAAATCAAGATTTAGATATATACACTTGTACATTTAATGTAGAAGTAGTTAATATACCTAGAGGTGCCACTAATGCGAAAAGATTGTTAAATATAGCAGAAGACTCAAGAACAAAGAAAAGTATAACACAAATAAAAAATAAAGATAGATTATGTTGTCCAAGAGCCGTTATTGTTGGATTAACTTATCATACAAACATTATACTCGGTAAGGAATATAATGATAATGAATTAAAATATATAAGAATGGGAAGAAATTTACAAACAACTTTAGCTCAAGAGCTATGTAATCAGCTTGGAGAATATAATGAAGAGTATTTTACCTTACATGATATTACAAGTATAGAAAAAGTATTAAATATTCAAATAAAAGTCGTAGCAGCGGAATGCTTTAATTCCATAATATATTCGGGGCCTGAAAAAGATATAAAAATATATTTATATAAAAATGGAAATCATTTTGATACAATTGGTAGTATGACAGCTTTCTATGGTCAATCTTATTATTGTAAAAAATGTGATAAACCATATCAAAACAAAGATATACATAAATGCAAAACAAAGGATAATATATGCATAATGTGTTTCAAATCTAATCACAAAGAAAACTCTGCTAAAAGAATATATTGCGAAAAATGCAATAGATACTGTTTTAATCAAGAATGTTTAGAAAATCATTCTGAAGTTTGTGAAAGATTTCATAAATGCTTAAAGTGTAATAAAATACTCAAAAGAGGTGATAAAATGGTTGACGAAGGTAAAAAAATGATTGAAGAAGGAAATAGATTAATTCGTGGACTGCGGAGCAGCAGTCCGAAGAGACGACTCTGTCCACTCATGAAGGCGAAGCCGATTTGTACAAAACCGAAAATGATCCAAAAATGTAATAAAATCGTTGAAAGAGGTAATAAAATGATAAAAAAAGGTAATAAAATGATAGAAGAGGGTAGTAAAGAACACAAATGTGGCTGGGAAAAATGTAGAAATTGTTATAAAGAGGTTGAAATACGTAAACATAAATGTTACATGCAATGGAAGCGGCAAAAAGGTGGAATCTGTCAAACTAAAATAAAAGACTGGCAGGGCCAGCGTCCACACAGTGGACTAGTCCGTAGCATGCCCAGAGGCAAAGCCGAAGACGGTGGTAAAGAATACAAAGTAAAAGGTTGTAAAAATTGTGATAGAAAAGGTTGTACAGTAACTTTTCCTGATAAAACAAACAAAAGAGTAAAATATCACATTTATCAATGTAAAGAATGTAAAAATTGTGTTAAAATACCAAGAAAGACTGGCAGGGCCAGCCCAGAGTTCACCAAAGGGTGCGGAGCACAAGTCAAAGACGGTTCACGAGGGGATTTAAAGATCCCGGAGTCGAAGACGAAGAACGAAAACGGTTATCAATGTCTTAATTGCGGATGTTCATTTAATACAACTAAATGCTCTTACACACAAAAATATTTATTCTTTGATTATGAGGCGATGCAAGAAACGGGCAAACACGTACCTAATTTAGTTATAGCTCACGATTTTTACGGTAATGTTGATTCTTTTAAGACTAACAAAGATTTCTGTAAATGGTTAGTTTCTAGAGATCATAAAGGATACACAGCTATTGCACATTATGGTAAAGGTTATGATTCTTACTTTATTCTAAAATATTGCGTTGAAAACGGTATTAAACCTTTCTGCATATATAATGGATCTAAAATAATGTTAATGGAAATAAAATCAATTAATTTAAGAATTATTGATAGTAGTAATTTTGTTCAAGGACCTTTAAAAAACTTCCCTAAAACATTCGGTCTAAACGAACTTAAAAAAGGTTATTTTCCACATTTTTTCAATACAACAGAAAATCAGAACTATATTGGAAAAATACCAAATACAAAATACTATGGGGTTAATTCTATGAAAATAAAAGATAGGGAAGAGTTTTTAGAATGGCATAAACAAAAAAGAAAAGAAAATTATTTATTTGATTTTAAAAATGAACTTTATGATTATTGTAATTCTGATGTGGATATATTAAGAAGAGGATGTCTTGAATTAAGAAAACAATTTCTAGAAATAGCTAACATAGATCCTTTTAGATACATTACAATTGCTGGTGTTTGTATGGCTATATATAGATCAAAATATATTAAGAAAGATACAATTGCAGTTGTTGATAATCTAAAAAAAGATCAATATTCTCAACAATCAATTTCTTGGTTGAATAGTTTTCATAATCCAAATATAAAACATGCATTAAACGATGGTGAAGTGAGAATATGTGGATCAAAAGTTGATGGCTTTGATGAAAAATCTAATACAGTCTATCAATATCACGGTTGTTTTTGGCATGGTTGTACAAAATGTTATAGTTCAAATTTTATTAATAATAAGAATAAAACAACTATGGAAGATCTTTATGAACAAACAATGGAAAGAAGCGAGCAAATAAAAAAAGCTGGCTATAATTTAATAGAAATGTGGGAATGCAATTGGATTAAATCTAGAGAATATAAAGAAGAAATGAAACAAATTAAAAGCAAATATAAAGAAATTGAAGAACTTAATCCTAGAAATGCATTCTTCGGAGGAAGAACTAATGCTACAAAACTAAAAGTTAATGGAAAGAAAATGAAATATATAGATATTTGTAGTTTATATCCAACAGTACAATGTTATGATGATTATCCAGTTGGACATCCTACTAAAATATTCAAACCTCCTACATATAATTCAAAATGGTATGGTTTAATAAAATGTGAAATTTTACCACCAAGAGGTTTGTATCACCCTGTTTTACCTGTTAAAAATAAAAATAAATCTGGCGATGAAAAACTAACATTTCCATTATGTCAATTGTGTGCAAAATTAAATAATCAAAAAGATAAATGTACTCATACGGAATCTCAAAGAATTGTCAGAGGAACCTGGTGTACAAACGAAGTAAAAAAGGCAATTGAAAAAGGATACAAAATAATAACTATTAATGAGGTTTGGCATTTTGAACAAAAATCGAGTTATTTGTTTAAAGGATATGTAAAAGCATTTATGAAAATAAAGTTAGAGACAAGTGAGTGGAGAAATGATTTTGAATCAGAAGAAGAATATAGAAAAGCCGTAAAAGAAAATCTAGGTATTGAATTGGGTAAAATAGAAAATAATCCTGGAAAGAGAGCTGTTGCAAAAATCTGCTTAAATTCCTTATGGGGTAAATTTGGTCAAAGACAAAATATGGGCGCAACAGAATATGTTACAGATATTAAGAGATTTTATGAGATTTTATTAGACGACAGACTTGATAATATACATATCAATGAATTAAACGAAAATATGTTACAAATTGATTACAAGTATAAAGGTTGCTATGTAGAAAATGATTTCAATACCAATATATTCATAGCGGCTTTTACAACCGCAAATGCTAGACTAAGATTGTACGAAATGTTAGACATATTAGGAGAAAGTGTAATATATTATGATACAGATAGTATTGTATATATAGATAATGGTAAAAACACTGTTAAAACAGGTTGTCTATTGGGAGATTGGACCGATGAATTAGGTAAGGACGTATGGATTGCTGATTGGGTATCAACAGGTCCAAAAAGTTATTGTTATAAAACTAATACAGGTAAAGTTGTTTGCAAAATTAAAGGATTTACATTAAACTATGAAACGTTCGAAAAGATTAATTCCGATAGCATGAATAATATTTTAGAACACAAAGACAGTAAAATCAGTACACAATATAATCGAATTAGTAGAGATACTAAAACTAAAGAACTTTTAAATAAAATAGAAACAAAGGAATTTGGTTTTGTTTATGACAAGAGAGTTATTCTAGAAAACTTTGACACAATACCGTTTGGATTTTAATCCTTTTCGTTGGTGCCTTTGAATTTGTTCAATTGCTCAACCAAACTAAGATGTTGAAATTTAAATTATTCTACTCATGGTTCCAACCAGGTAAAAATCCCTAGAAAACACTGGTGAGTGGTGAGTAATAAACGTAAAATCACTAAAAAGTGACAGTTGACACTCTGTGGTTGTTGACATGTAACGAACATAACAAATTGTTAGGTCTTAACGTTCTTTATTTTTTATCCACAATACCTTCTTTTGAGCAACATGGAGGATGATTCTCGGTAAGTAATATGTTGCACAATTATCATTTTGAATTTCATATAGTGAGGTTAGGTCAATTATCGCAAGTGATTATTTTTTGCTTGATAACTTGCATTTTTTATTATTTCTTTTTAGTGTTTTTGAGGCATCACTTCCTTTTGTCCGCGCATTAAAAGAACTCCAAATTCTTCAATCTAAAAAAAAAAAAATGGCCGAAGTGGAGACCAAAATACTGGGAGATGGTGAAATATCCCTACATTATCCAACCGCAGTTAAAACCTTTATAGGAACTGTGGCTGTGGTAAAAATACATGATTCTTATCACTTTGAGTCAAGATCCATCGGCGTAAGACGTGCTATTGTGCCGTGGGAAGAAGTGGCATGTAGTAATGTATCAGAAAATACAATCATTTTACAATTCAAACCAGATTATGCCTATGAAAAATGTACAGTTAAATTTTTTCAAAATTCACAGGTTAATGAATTTATATCCTTCCTACCAGCGATTCAAAAACCTGCGCCTATACCCAATGATTCAAGTTTTAGGTATGAAAGCTAGTTTAATCTCAGTTATTTCTAACATCTTCTTTGCAGTTCTGAATCTGATTATGACGACTCGGGCAATGAACAAACCCACCGACTTTCCCAAGAAAACTTGTATCAACCAGAAGTGTTGGAGGATTTCCAAGAATTATAAACTTTACTTTGTTATCTAGTTATTAATAAATTAGGGCAAAATTCTTAAAATGTTGCTTTTTAGATATACGTATACAGGGCTGTACAAACTTCAAAACGGTAAAATCTTTTTAAAATGTAAATTTTTAAAAAAGATCTTACAGGGGTATATTTACTAAAAAATTGAAGTGTTCTGAAGGGGTCTACTAGGAAAAAAGTCTTTCACACAGGGCAAAATTTCTAATTTTGAGTGTTTTTGAAAGGGCAATTCGCTTCGCTCATGAGGACTTTGTCCGAATTTGTTTGGACAAAACCGTATTCATATGTGTGGTGAAATGGCCCGACAGAAAAAACAGGGTATAAAAGACGAATTTTAAATGTTTTTAAAAGGGTACGTTTGGAAAAACCTTTCAAATTCTTTAAAAATTTTAACTTTTCAAAAGTTATCTTGAAAACCAGGCTGAAATCATTAAAAAGATAAAATGTATTATGAATTTGATGATATTTCGAATACATTAGTTAAATCTGATAAATTTGACTTGACAGTTTTTGGATTTAAATGTGGTCTTATCGATCAAATAATAAAACTGATTCAACGTCTGTATTAGTAAAAGTCTTTTTTTCCATTTCATTTTCTTGGCCGAAACAATATTCATTTTTGTTCTGAAGTAGCCCAACAGAAAAACAGGGTTAAAAGACGAATTTTAAGTGTTTTTAAAAGGGGAATTTGTTTGTACGAAACCGTATTCACGTTTGATAAAACAGGATATATTTCTTAAAATTCGCTTCGCTCATGAGGACTTTGTCCGAATTTTGACTTTTTTAAAAAAGGGTACGTTTGGAAAAACCGGTCAAATTCTTCAAAAAATGTTAATTTTAAAATATACCTTAAAAAACGGGAGTCTTTTCACGATTTTTCTGCTTTTCTGTTAACCCTTGAAAATCGGGGTGTTTTCCTTAAAAAGTAGCTGTGTTCTCAAGGGGCCTTATTAGTACAAAATTCTAAACAGTGTAAAATCTTTGAAATCAAGGTAAAATTCCTAATTTTAAATGTTTTTAAAAGGGAAATTTGTTTGGACCAAACCGTATTCTTGTTTGAAAAAACGGTGTATTTTCCTTGAAATGGTGACTTTTTTGAAAAGGGTACGTTTGGAAAAACCTTTCAAATTCTTTAAAAATTTTAACTTTTCAAAAGTTATCTTGAAAACCAGGCTATAAGTATTAAAAGTGTATTGTGTTCTGAAGGGGCCTTATTAGTAGTAATTCTGATTAACTATTTACTAGGATCATAACAACGTTAAAACATGTGCAAAATTTCAAAACACTAAGACAAGTTCAGTGTTAATAAATTGTGAGTTGGTCTTAAAGTTACAAACATCGCATTTGTTGGCGCATTCCTTTGTTTCATATATCATCTTTTATATTCATCTTAGATCATCTCACTTCTAAACTTTATGACTGTTATAGAAGGTTGTTTGTTACCGAATAAAATAAGAGGAAACTAATATCCGAGCATCTTTAGCGAAAGTTTGTTTGTTACTTTGTCTCTTTTGTAAAGATAATTAAACTTCTCGACTTTGTACGAAATAGAGGCGTCACCCTTTGAACTTTCAACTGCGATAAGATTTAATAAAGTAGCACTTGCAGAAATCTTAAAAGCAGTTCATGGGGAAAATTTTTCAAAAGATTTCTGAAATAGTGTATTATATTTATATTAAAGGTTTCGTTCAACCAACACTGCAATTGATTGAAAAGGATCCTACAGCGGCTTCATAAATAAGTATATTAGGACGCCTAGCTAAATTTAAATTATCGAACTATAACCTAAAGAAAATAAAAAAAAGAATGACGCGTAAGCCTTCGCTTTGTATTTTGAAATATGACTGAAGAGATTTACATAACTGTAAATAGATCTTGGTGAGTCAAACTAAACTATTGTGGGTGTTTTACGATTCTGCAGTAACCCAAACATCTATCATTTATATGTATATGTATATTTTTGTAGATAAAATGACCATGATTTTTCTCTTCCAATATATCGTAGATGAATTTACTAATTCTGCTGCGTATTTTAGTAGGTGTTCTACCTGGTTATGGAATTTCTTTTTTATTCGTGTTGAATCTTTTTACACCTACATATGTATGTGAGCTAAATAATTAGCATGTGGTTATGTGGTCAATTAACACAGCTTTTGACTTGCAGGGCCAAACTACTTGAGTAGCAGCACTGCCTGATCTTCGATTATGCTTGTTGGGATTTTTGTTTAATAAATACGTAAATGTTCCTCTATTAACTCTCTATATTTTGGATATTTTTATACAGGTACTCATGTTTTAAAAATAAACGATTTGATATACGAGAGTAACTGTTTTTTCCATTTCCTTAGCTACTAAAACTGCTTCATCTTTGACGGCACATCACTGCTTAATAAGAGTTAAAGGATCTGACTCAGTTGGATCTGCGTAAACTACATAACTGATGTTTTTTCTGCAGGCGTTAAAGTATCGTGTTATAATGACAGAAAAACAACTTCGAGGTCCAAACAGATTCGTATCAGAGGGTTTGGCAAGTACCGAGGAATGCAAAACATTAGTAAACATAGCCAAAATGTTTGCAATAACAGGAGATGGCTACGAGGGCAAGAGATCGCCCCACACCGTTATGGAAAAATTTTCAGGGTTCACCCTCAACAGAGCCACTTTGCTCGTCTACGTGGGCTTGCTGGACCCCAAATACCTCAAACTCTATCTAGACCTAACCGAGCGGGCAAAACTCAGAATACAAGAGTTCTTCCAAGTGAAAAAGAAACTCTATTTCTCGTACACGCATCTGGTGCGCCGATCACCGCTTCCAGGCAAGTACACGCTCTCCAGTTTTTTCGCGCAACCTCTTATACCTCCCTGCGTGCCGCTCGCATATGTATTAGACGCATCTGTGACGTACGCATCACACCTATCTGAGTAGGCCGCGCGTACCCATTTATAGCTTATCGCAGCCCACTAATAAATCTCTTATCATTGGTTATACAACTTTAATTTTAGATTCTCCCACCAATCGAACCGACTTAAGTCACCCAATTCATGCGGATAACTGTATCGTACTGGACGATAACTATTGTAAAAAATCGTCGCCTGCTTACACTTGGAGAGACTACAGCGCAATTATATTTTTAAATGACGACTTCGAAGGCGGGGAGTTCATCTTCTCGGCCGATTTGAATGCTGAAGAGGTCCAGGTAGGCATCTTCGCGGGTTGTTGTTAAATGTTGCCTATTCTGTTTGAAGGGCGTCGTTAAACCCAAATGTGGAAGAATGGTGGCTTTTTCCTCCGGTTTTGAAAATCTGCACGGAGTTCGAGCGGTCACGAAAGGATCGCGATATGGAATTGGGGTGTGGTTTACACATGACTCGGAACATGCAGAAATTGAAAGAAATATGGCGCACCAGGTTTTGCTTACGCAGAAATGACTCAGCCAGAGTTGATGTTTTAATAGTACAAATTTATTATGAGATTGTCCTTCAGGGTGAATACCTCAAAAATTTCCAGTTAATGCACGAGTTTTTGAATATGTAGAGGCCTCTAGTGGTGGATTTGTGCAAACTGTGCAGCTTGTGCCCTCTTGTGACAAAGCGGACACTTAATTATTACTCGCGCGTGCGCTAGAGATTTTTGAGAATCAGGTCAATGGGGATTTATGCATTTTAAATTTTATCTCATGTCCTTGATGGTATTTGTTCAATTAGGTTGTGCTTTTTAAGAATATGTGGTACTTATGTATGTGAGTATTAATTACTAACTTGTATGTCTCTAGCAGGAAACTACGGTTATTACCCTAGTCACTGTTATTCCATGTTACGAAACAAATGTTTATGTATACATATTTTTTCGAAATAAATGTTTATGACTTTAGTTGTTTTTTGTATAAGTTGCGGTGTAAATCGACAAAGCTGATGTCGAAATATTTTGACCTATCTGTCAATGAGGTGTAAAAGAATGATTTAAATTTAATTTTACCGCAAGTAAGTGTAACGTGTGCATCAATTCTTTTACCCGTCAAGGTACGACCCCAAAAGTAAGCGACCTTGAGAAATTAGCACTATTTTCGTTATTGCGGTTTCTGTACCTACGAGGCAGGGGTAGCAAAATTTCCTTAGTCATTGTTATTAATTCTACGATAGATAAATAAAACCAATAAAAATTCTAAAAGATGGAAATCTGGATGGAAAATATTTATAATAAGGCTCGTCTTTGTTTAATGGCGGCGAGAAGATGTGTTTTGGATTGCAGGAGACTCTTCTTTGATATTTTTTGCTCTTGGTATGAGAGATATTCTTGGCGGCCGGGCTATTCTTTGCCAGTATTTATTCCTGGCTCTTTGGAATGAAAAGGATGCGCAAGTATTTCCACTATGGAGAAACGCTTACATTATATTCCGCTTGGAAGATTCTATAAAGGATCTACAACATGGTGGAAATATACTATCGATTTAGAGTAATTAAGGGGCAAATTCAGTTATGGTGCTGATATTTTTGAAATACAACTTCCGGTAATAATAAAATTTTATATTAGAGATTTGAGCTTAACAGTTTCTAATATTAGACATTAATAATCCAAAAATAGCAGCCTTTAATATGTCCTTGTACACGACATGTCAGCTAAGTATTTACATAACCCGACATTTCATTAGTTTAAATTGTTATATTAATTATAATTAATACTACACAATCTCTCTGCGATCTACTGAATAACTGTAAGCCTTTGAAAATCGGAAAAATATTTACACTGAGTTACAATAATTTTCTTCAACGTTGGGTGTGAATTATTGATGTCAAAGTAAAACGGTAACCAAAGCCAACTCTGAATCAGCATGATTTCGATTGTTGGGTACATAGTTTATTGGCACCATTTTCATTGGTCTTTAAGTTGGTATTTAAGTCCTGTTTCGAGTCCACCGAATTTTTTTATTACTTAAGTATGTTCTTGTTTAGTGCTGTTTGTTTTGTCTCTTTTAAGAAAAAAGTGTTATTAAATGTCAGTCTCATTTTTGTTTTTGTTGGCCTTCGTAACTCCAAGTTTCAGAGTAGAAATGATACTGATGTACTCGCAGAGTTTTTTTTGATGTCATCGACATGATTCATTGAGAACTATTGACACAGTTTTAAAATAGTCCAAACGCATCAGAGTGGCACCAACTACCAACTATTTTTACTAGAAAATGTCATTATTAACTCGTAATAAATAAACTTGCAAACATCAGCGCATTTTTTTAATTTGGAAAACACATCAGCTAAATTAATGTATGTCATTATTTAAAGTGGTAGATTTTCACAATCTCGAGAAGAATGAACGTCAATAGAATAAATTAAAATAACTTGAAATAAATATTTGTAATTGCTACTAAAAATATTCTTGCACAGAGTAGTCCTAAAAATACAGGTTACTTTACGTTAGACGTTTCATCATGAATTAAGAATGATTAGAATTCTAAATAGTTACGTTACCGTGTTTACCTACACCTAAATGCATTTACGTAGATCTGTTATATTTTACACAGGTAACACGTAATTTCCTGACAAAACATTTTCAATTGCGCCTCAAGTTGAAAAAATGAGAAACAATGCACTTAAGTAACTTACTTAAATCGCTATGTGCACAGCGAGACGCACAAGTTCGATTTATTTTTATATAAGAAAACGCGAGAGGCGAAAAATTCACCAGATAGCTTTTTTTATAATTAGCAACTCTGTGGGTTAAGGTGCTAGTGGTGAATGAGACTTTATAATCCATTTGCCTTAGATTAAGTCATTTAGAGATTGCGCGGAACTTGTTGAATTCGGAGAGCGTCGTCGAGCGTCGCTGGCACGTAACCCTCAGTGGCGGAACAAGGGGGGCAAACAATCCACAAAAGAAACAAAACAAAAAACAAAACACACAAAAACGAGAAACGGACATGGACGATACAAGAAAGCCACAAAAATTATAGCCACCTACTATAATTTTTTGACAATGTTGTCCAAAGCGTCCACCACATTAACGTGTACTGTCATGTTATAGCATGGCCAACGTGTTTCATATTAACGTAATGTCATTTATGACATTGTTGGTTTTTAGCTTGACTATTTTATTATAGAGTCAAGTTTGGTGTCTTCATTTGTGTAGCTATAAGGTGTTCTCTTGCACCCGGCGGGAGCGACCTATTAGTTTAATAACGGCAGGATTAAAACGAGCCGCCTGCAGGTCCCGATTTAGGTCCGTTGGAAATGCGTGAGTTGCCGAGCGCGAATAAGTTTTCTCGGGAAAATTTGTGGGACGCCACTGTGTGGCGTCGCAGTGATATGTGATGGTCTAACGTAATCTGGGTTTTCAGTGCGAGACGTTAATGTGACGGGTGTAGTGAAGACACGCCATGGAGGTCTGCCGGAGGTCCTCGTGGCTTTTGCTGCTTCTTGGAGTTTCGCTTCTCGCCACTACCTTGCAGGGTACGTTAATAAAGTTCTTCGGAAAGTGAAAAATTTTTCGAAAATTTTTGTTTGATAAAGTGATGTGTGATACGAGAATTTCGACAGTTGCATCTATGGTGGTGTTAAACGATAGTGGTTTTCGATATTGCCTAAATTATATAATGTGAATGGCAGCCATGATTCCATACATTTTCGTGCTATATAATATGATATGTTATTTTTGGACGATACCGGTTTCTAATAATAAAAATTTTCGCAAATAAACTAATTTCTATAAATAAAAATATTTTGCGCTGAGGGTGGCAAATACTAGGAATTGTTGAACGCACGTATGTATTTTTTATAAACAAATGCAGAAGGTAGGAGTGGTGGTCGAGGTGTGCAAAATATTTGAGCGGCGAGTGCGTTGAAGCTATTCCTTCGAAAAATGGTGAAATTTAATATTAAAATATTTTAAATATAAAAGGTGGCATCAGTATTTAAAAAAAAATGTAAAATCGCTGATCTAAAAGTAGCCAAGTACCTACTGCAACTGACGACATCGGCAAATCGCCAGCAAAGGCTACCCTAGACTGTGTTACGGATTTAGATCAGACACCGACCGTGGATTGAACAATTTCAACTACAACTGCCCTTGTTCTATGCATTTTATTCCAAACATTTTGTTAAACCACAAGTACAACATTAACATCCACTCTAAAAATAACCGCAGTTTCATCATTACCACCAAAATAGATCTCTTCATCTCTATCGACAAAACAATAAGCAAAGAATAATACCCAATAAACCTTTAAAGGAAATACTTGGCGTATCAAACAATAAAACTAATTTTACACGCTGTTATATCTTCTATTCTATAATATAAAATCACAGCTGTTTTTATGGAACCTTGCCAACAGATTAAATATCAGAGTGAATCCATAATTACCCCGAGAAAAAACTTTCGAGCACCCACAATTTTATTTATCGTTCCTCCATACATTTATTTTTAAAGGTGTGCAAGGTGAGGTAGAGTCAGAAGGTCCTTCCGAATCCGAATGCCGGCCATATATCGAAAAAGCTCTCAAAGAGCTCGAAACGGGAGAATCCGGAACCATAGGGACTCCAGAAACCGGGGACAGTAAAGAAGATGTTCCTACAGTAGAAGTCACTACCGACGACTCCGATCACCGAGAAGGTGATGGAGATGACGATACTCACGAAGAAGGCACTGAAAGCATCGAAAGCGTCGAACCCGATCAAAACGCCCCAGACGAACAACAATCTGAGCAAGAGGTAGGAAGATTTTTTTATTTTTTTTAGCGCAATCCTAAATTTCTTTATAGGAAACTCAAGAAGAGAGCGCTGAGGGAACTGAAGCCGAACACTATGCGGAAGATACGGTAAGTCCACGCTACGACTATCTGCTTTCACTATCTTGGGGCATTTAGGATACACAGGAAGAAACTGGTGCTAGTCAAGAACAAGAAGCGATAAGTAGTGATGAAGGTGAAGAACAAAAAGCTGAAGAAACCGGAGAGGACGCAGACACTGGTGAAGATACAACTGAGGCGGAAGGAGAAGAGCAAGCCGAACAAGAAAGCGAAACTGCTGAAGAAGGAGAGAGTGTAGAAGAAGCAACTGGAGATGCGGAAGAAGAAACACAAACCGAAGAAGGGGAAGACACTCAAGAAGAAGCAGACACCAAGGAGGAAGAAGCAGAAACTAAAGAAGACACAGAAAGCGTCGAAGCCGAGGCACAAGTAGCCGAACAAGAAGAAACCGGTGAAGATACTCAGGAGGAAACAGACGAAACTAAAGAAGAAGGAGAAGATACACAAGAAGAACAAGCGGATGAAGCAAAAGAAGACGAAAGCGAAACTCAAGAAGAAGAGGCAGATGAAACGAAAGAAGAGGAAGCGGAGGAAACTAAAGAAGAAGAGGGAGAAACTAAGGAGGAAGAGGAAGAAACTAAAGAAGAAGTGGAAGAAACTAAAGAAGAAGAAACTAAGGAAGAAGAAGCGGAAGAAACTAAAGAAGAAGAAGTAGAAGAAGAAACTCAAGAAGCTGTCGAAGGCGAAAAGGAAAGTGCGGAAGGTGAAGCTGAAAGCACTGAAGAACAACAAGGTGAAGATGTAGAAAGCGAACAAGAAGAAACTCATGAAGACGAAGCCGACACTAAAGAAGAACAAGACGAAACCGCCGAAGACCAACAAGACGAGACAGCAGAAGATACTAAAAGTGAAGCCGCTGATGATGATAAAAGTGAAGCCGCCGCAGATGATGATAAAAGTGAAGCCGCCGCAGACGATGATAAAAGTGAAGCCGCCGCAGACGATGATAAAAGCGAAGACACAGGTGATGATAAAAGTGAAACCGCAGAAGAAGAAACTGTTGAAGAGCAAGAAGGAGGTAGTACAGAAGCTGAAGCAACTGGAGACGCTGATGAAAGAAGTGCAGAAAAAGACGACAGTACTCCTGACGAAGCTGCACAACAAGAAAGTGAAGAAGGTGAGTATAATGGACGTGAGCCGAGAGGACGGTGTAAGTATTCGTGAATTTTAGGTGAAGTTGCCGAAACACCTGAAGGCGAAAGTGCAGAGAGTGCAGGAGAAGCTGAAGAAGCTGTAACAGGTGGCGAGGAAAGTGTGGAAGGTGAGGAGCAAAGCACGGAAGGCGAGGAAGGTAGCGAGGGAGAGAAAAGTGGCGAAACTGAAGAATCTGCTCCCGAGGAAGAGCTTTCTCTTGATGTTGAAATTCCAAGCGACCTGAGGGATAGAAGTCACGTCGAACATCTTCTCAAAGTTGATGAAGAAGCATCCGAAACCGAAAAAATAATAAATAGAGTAGCCGAAATAACACTGAGAGAGTTGAAGAAACTATACGAAAACGCGATAAAACCGTTGGAGGTACTTTATAAGTACAGAGATTTAAGTAATAGGCACTTCGGCGATGCTGAGATTTTCTCCAAACCGTTGATACTTTTTATGGGCCCATGGAGTGGCGGAAAATCTTCAATAATTAATTATTTGTTAGATAACGAGTACAACGAAACATCATTAAGAACAGGTATTCACAGCGACACAAGGTAAAAACATTATAATAGATTGTCTTCTAGGAGCTGAACCGTCCCCTGCATATTTCAACATTTTGATGTATGGAGATGAGCCAGAAATTTGGGACGGTACACAATTAGCAGCCGATTTTACATTTTCTGGGTTACAGAAATTTGGACAAGGTCTAGAGGAAAGACTCAGAGGTGTGAGATTACCCAGCAAGCTATTAGAAAAAGTAATTAAACCGTCCAACGAAAACCTAAAATAATCAGTTTAATTACAGGTTAATATAGTAGAGATTCCTGGCATCTTGGAAGTACGTAAACAAGTTTCACGCGTATTTCCTTTCAATGATGCTTGCCAGTGGTTTATTGACAGGGCCGACATAATATTTTTGGTGTATGATCCTTCAAAATTAGACGTCGGTCCTGAAACCGAAGCTATTCTTGATCAGCTTAAAGGAAGAGAGCATCAGGTACCTTTCGCGTATTCGGCAAAATGATATAACGCAAAATCTTTTTCAGACCCGAATCGTGTTAAATAAAGCTGATCAAGTGAAACCCGAAGAATTGATGAGGGTCCAAGGAGCCCTAATTTGGAACATTTCTCCTCTTATGTCATCCGCTCAGCCTCCAGTTATGTACACAACGTCGTTGTGGTCAAGACCCTACGAATCGTGGGCTCCGTCGAGGCTATTGCAAGCACAAGAAAGAGGTTTTTTGAGGGATCTAAGGTCAGCTATTGACAAACGTATCGAAAATAAGATCGCTAGCGCGCGTAGATTTGCGGTAAGAACAAACTATGTAAAAACTATCAAATTTTGATTGTGTTTATTGACAGGTACGCGTGCGTAACCATGCCAAAATGGTGGATTGTTATTTAACCACATATTATAACCATAAGTCCGTTTTTGGCAACCGTAAGCAAGTGGCTGACGAAATCATCGAGCACCCTCAGGACTACCATATCTACGAAGGACTTTCGACTCTGACGAACATTTCGCGTTATGATCTCCCCGATCCTGACGTTTACAAAGATTTTTTCAAGCTGAATCCATTGTACGATTTCCAACAGCTTTCAGCTACGTGTACATATTTCAGAGGATGTCCTATTAATAGGCTAGATGTTGCCATAGCATACGATCTCCCTGAACTAGTCGGAAAGCACAAGCGTTTAGTGGAAAGTGCTTTGGCAGAAGCCAATCAAACACCTGTTCCGGGCAGTTGAGCCGTACGCCGAGGACCAAGTTTTAAGCCCTTACGTGTAGACAATATTCTGCACGCGTTAAAAGACTCTCGACGTCATCGAACGTCGAAGCGACATCATTTTCAAATTGTTCGTTCTAAATTTTCCTAGTGTTGTCGCAATTCTTCTTACTGGACTGATGTGAAGTGCACGGACAATAGTCAGCCACGCTTATATAGTCTCCTGCCATGTGTGTTGATCGCATTTAAGAGTTCTTGCAATCGGAGTGTTCATTCAGAAATCGATTTCAAAGAGAGTGGGTTATATGTATTTTTGACACCAGATGTACAATTCCTTACCAGCTTTACTAAATTTATGACAAGTGTTTCTAATTGTAGTAATGTGTATATTATTTATGTACAAATAATCGACTTTGTAGTGAATAACTTAGTTTTTATTTTCTCATCTTTTTTTTTTCAATCAGAGGAGAATGTGTAACAATGTAAGAAGACATAGGTTAAGTACTTAAATAAATCAGTATATTTTCATTCGTTGTTTTATTTTTAACAAATCGTTAACCACGTCGAGAGATAAATTAATGTACTTGCCAAAAAACGATCCACACATCGCCAAGAAACGAACCAACCTCATTATTTTCCAATAAAGTAGTAGGAAATGATTTCGCAATTCATAGGATTTTCCAATGTGATCACGTTTACGTTGTCTGATCTACTTAAATATTGGTAAATATACATCATTTTGACTTGAAAACAATATATTTCGTACGAAGTTCATTCCCGAAAGACGAAATTGTATTTACAAAGTGGACATCAGCGATATAAATTATAAGGGTTATTACGCAACTCGTAAGACGAATGCTATTAGAGATACCGGAAATGATTTTTGAGCAATCTGAGTAGAACTGATATGAAATACAGAGTGAAATAATAGTCGAGCGATTTCTTTTCACTTATCATACTAAACAAATGTCTCTAAAATTGTATTAAAAAAATGAAGAAATTTGATCATTAAAGTCCAAAGTAAGTATTTTTTTTTTTACATAAAAATTTAATTGCACCGAAACAATAGCCTGGAAATAGCGATATCAGGATTATGAACTGATAACGGGTCTATTGTGTTTTACTTCAATGGGCGTCGGACGCTCACTATTTGTCAGCTCAGTAGTCGCGATTGTCAATCGTTTGACAGACCTAACTTCACTGATGTGTTATTTTAATAATAGTGGGATGGGTTATAAGAAATAGTCTTGTAATTTGTAAATTAGACAGCAATGACAATAGAGTAAACTTACTAAATCAAAATTAACATAAAATAAGTTGTTAAAAAAATGTGTAAACCATGTGATAACTAATTTGTAAATAAACAATTACTATAGTTGACAGTGACATTTGACAAGTGCCAGCTCACCGTATATTTTGTAGAATTTTGTTTTTTGGATAATTTTAAAACGAATAATGGCGTTTGAGAATGGAATTAGTAACGTAGAGGTTTCAGCGGCTTTTATTGAGACTTTACAGACTGATTTCAAGAATCTTGCTGGAGAATCAAAGAAGAAATATCCAGTAATAAAAGAGGTAAGTGAACAGGAAAGTGGTACATCGTTAGAAAAAAAATTTTTTAGTCATGTGAGGAAGCCGTTATTAAATTAAAATCGGCTTTATCCACTCCGCAAACATCAATATTTTATGTTATTAATCAAGTTATTTATCCATTGTCACAAGGATGTGAAACGAAGGATGTTAAGCTAATTAAAGTAAGTATGAGGTAACAATAGGGACAATTTAATTGATTACGTTTCAGTTTTGTTTACAAATCATACAAAAATTAATAACACACCAATTAATTGATCAAAAAGGAGCTTTGTATATAACTGATACTTTATGGACTTTAATGGAATCAGGAATCGAGGAAGTAAAAATTCTTCAGTCTGTCACTCTATTGCTAACAACAAATACAGTAGTGCATGGCGACACTTTAGCTAGAGTAAAACACTAAATTTCATTTTTGCCACAACTAAAGTTACTTTTTCAGACTCTGGTGTTGTGTTTTCGACTACATTTTGCTAAAAACTCAACCACAATCAACACAGCGGGTGCTACAGTACGACAATTAGTCTCTTTAGTGTTTGAGCGAGTAGTAGCCGAAGACGAAATGCTAGCAAAGTCTGAAAACACCCCCACAGTGCGACAGATCAATATGGACGATTTTAAGATTCCAAGCGGTACACCTCCGAAAGGTTTACCACCATGTGCAGCTGATGCTTATTTATTGTTCCAAGATTTAGTACAATTAGTTAATGCCGATCAGCCTTACTGGCTTATAGGAATGACTGAAATGACACGTACTTTTGGCTTAGAATTACTAGAATCTGTACTAACACAATTTTCAATAGTCTTTTATAAAAACGCAGAGTTTAGTTTTCTACTAAAGGAACGTGTGTGCGCTCTGGTCATCAAGTTGTTTTCACCAAATATTAAATATAGAAGTACTTTGCCATCCAGCGTACAGCAAGCCACCCCATTCGAGAAGCCTTACTTTCCTATAAGCATGCGATTACTAAGGGTTGTGTCTATTTTAATTCAGAAGTATCATAGTCTTCTGGTAAGTTAGTTGTGTAGTTGACGCATATCTTATCAATTTAATACGTGTAATAATTTACCATTAGTGACAAGTCGTAAAAATTTACGATCGCTTTATTATTAACAAACGAAACATTTTTAAATTAAACTAAACTGATAGGAATGTGGAGATTGTTGATCTTAACCTATTTTTTATTGTCAAGACCTATTAAGTTTAATTATTTGGTTGAAACGTCACAAGGTGCGAGAAACAAAAAAAGTTAGGTTAAGATCTGGCACGAAAGCAATAAATGTCTGCGCTATACCACGAAGTCAAGATGGCGTGGACAAATTTTAGTATCACTCGACTCTCTTCGTGTTGGTTCGGAGCGAAGTGGTGGGGGGAGTTGCATGGAGCGTATGGATTAGGAAGTCTTGAATTTTGTGCTTTATCGGAGATAATCGTGTCAATGTACCGAGTGATCATAAAGTCGTACTCTTTTATACTAAATATTAGTTTTGTCGTAGATTATTAAATGAGAATTGATTTTTGATTGTAGGTGACTGAATGTGAAATATTTTTATCTCTTATTGTAAAATTTTTGGATCCTGACAAACCAACATGGCAGCGATCTTTAGCTTTGGAAGTTTTACACAAAATGACTATTCAACCAGAACTGTTAAACTCGTTCTGCAAATGTTATGATCTCAACAAACATACAACTAGCATTTTTCAAGACATCGTGAATTCGCTGGGAGCCTATGTACAATCGCTTTTCGTCAACCCACAGCTGCAAATTAACAATACAAGTAATATATTGGGTTTAAATACCACGTGTTTTAGTGATGGTGTTGTAGTGAATATCACCCAAGGCCAACCGCCAGTGTTCCTAGGGGGTTTACCCGCCGGTCCTGGTGTTTCCCCGCAGCCAGGGTTCCTGCTGCGTGGTGTTTGGTTGCCGATTGTGACTACATTCCCCACCGGTCAAACCAAATCGATCTAGTAAGTTTACAAAACCCAATGACTGTGTACTTAAGTCGGAATACAGTTTAGAAATGTTGGATAAAATCGAGCCACCGACCATCCCAGACGGGTATGGCATTTCCATCGCCTACGCAAGTCTTTTAGAAATAATCCGGTCGTTACAAATCACCATCGGGCCGCAACATCACGTCGAAGGGGAATCCCCTCCGCCTCGACCCAAAGAAATCAACAAGGAACTATACTGCCAGTTAATCAAGTCGAGTTGGTGCGGGCTTCTTGCAGCTTTAAGTCCGCTTATAGATGCTAGTACGGACGAATCCATCACGGAAAACGTACTCAAAGCCATACAAACTTACGCGTCGCTTTGTGGACAATTGAATTTAGACACTCCTAGAGACGCTTTTATTACAGCAATTTGTAAATCGTCGCTTCCGCCGCATTATGCGTTGACGGTGTTGAATACCATTACCTCGGGCTCTGCTTTGAGGACGGGACACAGTCAAGAGTTGAACGCACAACTGGTGGCACAGTATGGTGAAGCTGATTATAGACAGCAGGTTGTGGCAGTCGGGACGCCTTTACCCACGTCATCGGTGCCTGCAGGTACTCAACAAGGTCCTGTTATGCTCACGTCAAAGAACCTTCAGTCTATGCGCGCTTTACTAAGTCTGGCGCATTGCCACGGAAGCATCCTGGGTAGTTCGTGGCATCTAGTGCTCACCACTTTGCAACATTTAGTCTGGATTTTGGGCTTGAAACCCTCGACGGGTGGTAGCTTGAAGGCCGGCCGTCTCACTACAGACACAAATGCTGTGATAACAACGTCAGTAATGGCGGATTTACCAGTGTTATCACAAATGCTCAGTAGGTTATTTGAATCCAGTCAGTATTTAGACGACGTAGCGTTACATCATTTAATCAATGCTCTCTGTAAGTTGTCACAGGAAGCTATGGAATTGGCTTACTCGAATCGAGAACCTTCGCTATTCGCCGTCGCTAAGTTACTAGAAACGGGTTTAGTAAACATGCCTAGAATCGAGGTATTGTGGCGACCGCTAACCAATCACTTGTTGGAAGTTTGTCGCCACCCCCATATAAGAATGCGCGAGTGGGGAGTGGAGGCAATCACGTATTTGGTTAAGTCGGCGTTGCATTATAAACATACAGTGCCACTGAGAGATAATCAAAAATTACAAACGCTGCTTTTGGGACCGTTGTTTGAATTGTCGTCGGTACCGCATGGGGATGTGAGGCAAAGGCAGCTGGAGTGCGTCCTTGAGATTTTACATGGTGCTGGGGAAACGTTGTCCCACGGCTGGCCTTTAGTTTTAGGCATAATTGGGGCGGTTAACGATCAACACGGGTAAGTTGGCAGTTGAAATGGAACCACAAAATCGACAAACTTGACTTTGTTTTAGCGAAAATTTGATACGAATTGCATTCCAATGCCTGCAGCTAGTTATAACCGACTTTCTCCCGGTTATGCCGTGGAGGTGTTTACCGTTGTGCGTCGATACGGTCTCTAAGTTCGGTTCGCAAACCCAGGAATTGAATATTTCGCTAACAGCAGTTGGATTAATGGTAGTAACGTAATTAGTTTGTAATTTCCTGTTTAATTTTTTTGTGTTTATTGTAGTGGAACATATCCGACTACTTCCACCAAAATCAAGGTAAACTAAGTCAGACTTTAACTGAAGACACCACAGTACTTCCGGACTTCCCTGGAACTTTAAACATGCCTAGTTTTGATAAGTTGTGGATGTGTTTGTATGCACGATTGGGTGAATTGTGTGTGGATACCCGACCGGCGGTGCGAAAGTCGGCTGGGCAAACTTTATTTTCCACAATTTCCGCGCACGGTGGATTGTTGAAACAATCAACCTGGCAGGCGATTTTGTGGCAGGTGCTGTTTCCTTTGTTAGATAAAGTTAGAAGTTTGTCGAATTCCGCTAGCAGCGAAAAGGTGGACGCCGGAGGCAACATCTTGATCCATCACACGCGGAACACGGCACAAAAACAGTGGGCGGAAACCCAAGTTTTGACCCTATCAGGGGTAGCCCGCGTTTTTAACACCAAAAGACAACTATTGCAAGCACTAGGCGATTTTCCGAGAGCGTGGTCTATACTTTTAGAATTCATAGAAAACGCCGCTTTGAGCAAAAACAACGAAGTTTCAATCGCCGCACTTAAGTCCTTCCAAGAGATCCTGTTTTTGAGTAAAAGTCAGTCTGTTGATAATAAGTCTGCGGTGATTGAAGATAGAGAAATCTGGTCAATCGCGTGGAAGGTCTGGGTGAAAATCGGCACCGAAATCACAGTCCCGGCACTAGAAACTGAAAGCACGAACGACCTCTACTGTCCCAGTCAGACTTTTTTGACCGCTTTGGTTCAAATTTTCCCCAGCGTGTTTCAGCACATTAAAAGCAACTTCAACTTAGACGATCTCAAGCAGTTGGGTACTGTTCTCACGAACGCGGTTAGTGTCCCGGTTTACGGCGAAACCACACCCTATATCATCTCCACGTCGTCCGATGTAAGTTTGACGCCTCTTCATGATGGTGTTTTACACACAATGGAATTGCTCCAAAAAGAAGCCCTGTCTAGAAACAACAGCAAAATGATTCCTGAAATATTCAAGCGTTTACTGATTTTCGCCAAATTTACGTGTTCGCCTCCGAGTACTAGTAAATTAGAAAACAAGCATAATAAAGTTTCGGATTGGGTAGCTATGAACTATATTCCGTTCGGGGAGAAAGCGATGAGCATGACTGTGAAGTTGTACGACAAAACCGCTGAGAATCCCGAAGTGATTAGTGCTAATATTCTCCACGGAATCGTAGCGGCGCTGCATAAACCTCTAGCGTTGAAGTACAATTGTTATACTAATAGTATTTGGAAATTAGCGGCAAACAGTCTGATTACGGTGCTCAAAACCGGTCTAAAAGTGGCTAGAATCCATGGGAATCAATTCGCCGCGATGTGGACCGAACTTGCCGCAACTCTCAATGATTTCCTATTTCCTAGCATGTGTGCTCCTGCTGATAAGGGTTTGGATGAAATGGTGACAGACGAAGCGACGGACTGCCAGTTAATAGAGTTACTACGAACGGAAGTTTTGCCTTATTCCAGTCAAATCCCAAAGGAATTCATAATGCAGGTGGTTATTTTACTAAATAAAGGGTCAATTCATTCAGCTACGAACGTCAAAACTGACATCGATTCCGAGCTGACGCTTAGGGAAGAGTTCGCGAAGACGTGTTTCGAAACTTTGTTACAGTTTTCTTTGATTGATGGCGACAATAAAGCGCTTGTTGTCAACGGCGACGACTTAGCCGGCCAACTGGCCGTCACTTCGTTGTTACAGAGATTCCAAGAAGTTTTAGAGAAATATATAGAGGACGAAAAGTTGAGCGGCAAGTGCCCTCTACCGAGGTACGTCGAACTACTTTGTCCGTTTTGTTTGTTTCATGACAAAATTTCAGGTACCGCCTTTCCGAAATCTCTTTCGTCTTGAAAGCTGTAACCACTCTAATCATATCAATGAAGAAAGCGCCTATCAGAGGTGAGCGTGGCGCTTTTGTGTTACTTAAAACAGTCGCTTTGTTTCAGAAGATAGTACAGCTTGGGAACACCTGATTAAATTGTATCCTCATTTAGTCGAATGTACAACCACGACGTCTACTCAAGTTTCGAGACCTTTGAAGGAAGCTCTCCTGCAATTCTGTGATTTACTACAACCACCAATGAGTAATAAAGCAAATGGCGAAAAAATTTGATTTTGTTAAACATCGTGTACCTGTTGTGAGAGATATCAATTGTCTTGAGATTTATTTTAAAGTTGTTTTAACAAGTATTAAGTATATAATTCGTAACATTTCCGACATCTGCCATTTATTTCATTTTAGTTATACGTTACGTTGTCATTTATATACATATATATATATTTGGAAAAGTTTGTAAATTTTAGTGTTAATAAAATATTTAAAACTGAGCTTCACTTACTTGCGAAGGAGAGAACAGAAACGCAGATGGTTTTTGATTTTTTGAGGTTATCGTGTGCATCCCCACCAAAAAGTGGATGACGCCTCGCAAAAGCTTTGCTAAGTAAAGTGGGATTTATAAACTCCGTTGCCAAGTTATCATTAATAGTAACTTTGATGTTCAACTGTTGCCGCATTTCAAGGGGTTGTAGAAGAAAAATGGAGGATTTAAGTTGATTACTACAAACATTTACCATTTTAGACACGTTTTAAGTTTCTTGAAGTCGAAATAAGTCAACACATTGAGAAAAACAGGCAAAATGTAGCCCCGCCCACCCGCCCTATCTCAATTGTGATGATTTTTTTATTCATCGTGAGCCAAGAAGGCGGAGCTTAACTGCAAAATCCTCATTTCTCAACGAGAAATTAAAAACATGTTTTTGAGTAACGTGTCGTTCAAAGAATACTATGTATATTAAGAAAAAAGTAATGCCAAAAATTATCCATGTTTGCTTACAAAAATTTCAATTTTAAATGTTTAGGTTTCTAAAAATAAATAAAAAAACATCACAATTGAGATAGTGTGGGTGGGTATCATGCATGTGCAGTCATATGGCCATTAGTAGGTACGTATTCTACATAAAATTTTATATATAGTTACATGGGTCATTTGTTGAGTAACAGGATACTCAAAAACATGTTTTTAATTTCTTGTAAAGAAATAAGTATTTTGCAGTTAAGCTCCGCCCCCTTGGTTCACGGCGAATGAAAAAATCATTACAATTGAGACAGGGCGGGTGGGCGGGCTTACATTTTTCCTTTTTGTTTTAATATGTGTAGACTTCTTTTCACAACATGGAACATTTTTATAAGGAAATTAGGCTCCGTTCCATAATTGTAAAATCCATATTTCCCTGGAAGAATGTACCATTTTAACCATTTTTAAGTTTCTTGTTGTGAAAAGATGGCTATGTATATTAAGAAAAACAAGGCAAAATATATAAGCCCCACCCACCCGTCCTATCTCAATTCTGATGATTTTTTTATTCATCGTAAGCAGAGGGGCAGAACGCAATTGCAAAATCGATATTTCCCTATATAAATTTACCATTTTAAACATGTCTTAAGTTTCTTATTGTGAAAAGATGATAACACATATCAAGAAAAAAAAACAAAACAAAATGTAAACCTCGCCCACCTGACCTATCTCAATTGTGATGATTTTTTTATTCGTCGTAAGCCACGGGGGCGGAGCTTAATTACAGAATCCTCATTTCTCTACAAGAAATAAAAACCATGTTTTTGAGTATCGTGCTGTTCAAAGAATACTATGTATGTTAAGAAAAAAACAAGTCAAAAACCACCCATATCCATCCCAAGCTCAATTGTGATGAATTTTTCATTCGTTTTGAGACCGAGGGGCGGAGCCTAATTGCAAAATCGATACTTTCCTACAAAAATTTACCATTTTAAGCATGTTTTACCTTGTCTAAGCTGTTTTTGAGATGAATAGCAATAAATCTTGTTGATTTAAACGTCGAGAACTATCTTTAACAATGCATAAGTACTAATATAATACCTTCGCTGCGTATTTATCTTACAACGGCAACGTCAACGTCAACGGCGAACAGCAGCGTCAACGGCAAGTTGACCTTAAACCCACACACAATTGGAGAATACCATCTCAAAAAATTATTAAATCAAAGTTTATTAAAAATATTTCCTTATATCAAATGTTGTTACTTGATTTGTCTCAAAAAATGAATGAAATCATTTTAAAATTTTGAACTCTGAAACTCGGCAACTCAGCGAGTTGTATAAATAGATAATTTATGTACAGATTGAGGCAAAAGTATGGAACCGGTCAAATATGTTAAAAATCCATAGAAATAAGTTAAATGTGAAAAAAAAAAATTGACAGAGTAACTGTATGTCAAAAAAAAAAATTAAATGCGCCGTGGTATTGTTCACGGTTTAGCGGGCGCCTACTGTCTAACCTCTTCCGACCAATTTTATTAATGGTTGCTAATAATCGCGTACCATTATTTCGGTTAGTCGTAAATCTTTGAGGTAGAGCGGGCGGTATAATGAGAGCTCACTAGAGTATGAAATTTTATGTAAATAATCCAATTTACAGTTACTGTTACGGCGGAGTAGTGCATATTAATGCTAAGAGAGGTCATTAGCAACTTATCTTCTATTTTCTATGTCCGCGGCTTCCTTGATCTCGAACGAAACGGAACTACAAACGGTCATCTTTAAAATCTTTATTTGTATAAAGGCAATTTGTTAGATATAAAATCGGTATATAAAATATATTAATCTAGATTACAGTAATAACAGACGGCAATAATATCAAAACCTGAAATAGGCAGTGAAACTGTTTTGTACTAAAAACTCTTTGAAATTTCACAAATGTACATTTAAAAATAGATTACAAACATACTGTCTGTGAAACAAGCGGTAAGTACCTATATACACTTTTTAAATACCCTCTAGCCATTTTTCTTAGACGATATATACATTAATAAATTTTCGATAAATAAATTTTAACAATGACTGGTTCTAAACTAGAGTCGACAGTTCATGTGGCGAGTTAGTAGTAGCCACACTGCTGAGCTCCAAGGTTGCGTTAGGCATTCCTGGACTGACACTTCCACTAGCCTCCCTAGGATGCGACAACTTCGTCAGGTTTAAATTTTCCGCAGTCGGAGGTGTAGTCGTCGAGGGTCTCACAATATAGGGGTTGTTCGTATGCGTCGAAGGACCCACCGGATGGCCAAAACTGTGGTTGATATGACTGACATGTGAATGATTCAACTGCGTAGTCGGCGAAGTCACACTGTGGAAAGAGTTATGACTTTGCGATTGTTCATGTTGAGCTAAGGCCAGTTCTTTGACGGCGTTCGTTTTTTCTCGCTGCCATATAAACACATTGTGGACCATTGCACAACCGCAAAATATTATTCCCAACCCGATAAACACGCTGGTGACGATCGCCGGGGTTGAGTGAAACTGGATGAAAGTGTAGAGGATTATTCCTGCAACAACACCATCAAAATACAAAAACAAAAACTAACAAAAAAATTACCTGTCAAAAATACCGGAATTGAGATGAAGAAGCCCCCGACTGCGCAGACTCGACTTACTGACGATTTTTGCAGGTATTTGTTCGTTCTAAAACAAGAGAAACGAAATGAGTCTTAATGCGCCCGGTGTGATGCTTATCTGTCACATCACCGCTGCATAATCTAATAACTTATGATAAATTTAAAAGGCGCGTTCTGGAAGTTGTTCGTCATGGCAGGTTCGTGCCATCGAATTACTAAATTCACTCAATTTATAAAGCAATTTAGGGTGGCGTGTATTATATGACACGTGACCGCTTAATCTGAGGCTTGTGAAACCTCTAATTAAGTTACTGAATCCTTACGAAACTTGATATGTTCAACTACCTGCTTGAAATGTCCAGTAAAATGACACTTCAGGCCTTGTATTTAACATTCTTGAGGTAAACCACAACTTTTTTAAATGGACATCTACATCCACGTTGAAAGTAAACGCGCTTTTGATTTTTTCTCCAACTTCCTCTGGAAATAAAATTTCTCGCCAGAAAACATTATTAATTACTCGGTTCGGTGCATGCGTGCAAGATTTTCTTTATTCAGCTTGGAATAACTAATTATACTTAAGAGTTTACTTTCAAACTTTGCTTGCAGAATCGGTGATTAGAAAAAGGAAATTGAACCACTTTCTCAGATTGCCCATTATAATTTCCTCACGTTCTTTGAATGCTCACAAAGCGATTGGCAAAAAGATTTGCGTTGTATTTTTCTTCAAAGCTAAAGATAGATAAGGAGCCATCTGGTTTCGTCGAGGATTTTGTTTTTTAGAAGCCAACTGAATCACTACTACATAATTATCGCTTGTTTTTCTCACCCATATGTTTCTGTAAACATCTTACGCTATTAACAATGTGTTTTAATAAGTTTTTTTAATGGAAAATGCGATGTTACAAATTATGAGATTCGAGTCGATACAATAGAACATGTTACTACAGTGTCAATCAAGTAGTAATTTTGGAATGCTATTTATAAACCAAGAATGAAAGCCAAAGACAAATCGTTAAGAACGAGTATGTCAAACGCACACATTCAATTCGTACTATTTTCTGTATCTCTAACAAGTTGTAAATGTTTATACCTATGTGCGAATTATTTAACAACTTAAAAAAATTATATTCGTTTACAATGCAAACACAACGTACTTGCTATTTTTGTAATTGAAAGTAGCTACCTTGAGGAAAGTCGTTTCTGCGCCGGGACTACTGCGCAAGTCAATTTCGATGAAACGACTGTACCCAAACAGCGGCAATTATGAATTATCATGTGTTAAATTTTTCAAATATTGTGATAAAAGGTGAAAATTAATTTAGACTCATCGTTAACACTTTCAATTTGGAAGGTGTACAACTTTCTGTCAATTTACGCCAACGAGTGGTTTTATTTTAAGTGAAATCATATATAATAAAAAGCATTACATATAATATGCTCGTTATGATTTAAACAATATAATACGAATTAGTAAATTACGTTGATGTAGGTAAAAAAAATACCATAGTTAATTTATGAGTGCAAAAAACAGCTTAAGTGATTTTAATAACTACGCTGATTGGGCAAGATAAGATATTATTTTAAATTGAAAGTACCACATAATCAGCATTTGTAAGCAGTTGCTTAACATAAAGCAACTTATTGTTTTGTTTTAAATTATCGTGCGTGACGACATGCAAAATGTGTTTTTAATCTTCTTGCTCAAGTAAAAATAATAATGAAAATTGTTAAGGGGAGATCACGAACGTGATATTATATTAAGGAGAAGCGTTTACGTGTGTTTCAATTTCCACAAGCATATAAATCTAGACACCTTGCTGCGGATTTTTTGAAATTTGGCGGCAACATTTGTGGAGCGCGGAATTTTATAAATTTGACGAATATTCAGGCGAAACGAACATCTTAATAGTCCATAATTAATTTTCGATTTTTATGATGTCAGCATAAATGTATATTTATTTTATGGTTCCTGTTATGAATATCGTCACTGAGCTATTTTTATTTGATGTTCTTACTACGAAAGAGTTCAAATTAAAATCTGTCGAAAAGTACCGACAAGATTATGACAGTAAAATTATCAATGACAGGTGACACAAAATGTCGCCCCGGATGTTGAGTGAAATGGAAGATCAACGTTTCAAAATTATTATAATCTGCTAGAATTCGAAGTTCTTGAAGAAAAATAAACAGAGAAATGTTCCCTGAGCTGGTTTTCACTGACTTGTTATACAGCAGGTGCAAGTTTCAATCTTCAGTTTCCATAAATAAAATCTAGAAACTGCTACTGTCCATCTTCTGTGTTTTTTGTGAGAACTGTTAATTTAAAAACTACATAGTGCTTTAAAAGTTGCCTTAACCAGACAAAGAGTGTGTTATTATTATTATCACTTTTTACTTTTGTGTGAAAGTAGTTATGCTTCCAAAACAACGTCAAATACGAAGTGAAAACAACGTTAATGTTAAAACTAAACAAATATTGGTTATTTAAAGTATGTAGAAAATAACCTTCACAAACGCAAATATGAGATTGAGGTGACATCCAACAATAAAAATACGAAATAACGGTAAAAAGGCTTGTAATCCAACTTGTTTTTGTTACATTTTAACCGTTTACACAAAGCAAACAAGTTCCAACTTGCCAACTGTACCGTTTTGGCACTTCGTCGAAATCAAAAAAACGTAGCCGTCTACGAATTTCCAAATGCATATCTGGTGTAAATTTGACGCACTACCTTCAGCAACAAAATTGTTTACTGGATCTATTAAAAAAAAGCATAAGGAATGCGGGAAGCCCATCACTTTCGTAGCCGCGTAGCAGCAGGTGTAATTTACATTAATGACGTCTTTCACTTGAATTAAATCCAGCGTGCTGCAGCGTACCGCTGAAGGTTCATTTATCTCAATTGCGGTGCACCGCAAGGGTAGAAATTGGGACACGCACTTTTGGCTTTAGTATTGTAAATGACTTCCTCCGCGTTCATTGATTCATTTAACCTACGCTTATTTGCTGAGAAAAATCCAACCGGTTCTCTACAACTACAACTCAAGACCATCATTAATTGGTACACATTAGGATTTTATTAACCGGTAACGTGGAACGCGACAATTCGTCATGTCATACAATCAAAAACGAAAAAACTAACTCCCGTTGGCCTTAAATCGTACTTTTACTTTACGGGTATTTAAGTAAACTGTTTTTCAATCAACGAGGAAGAACTGTCAAGTTTGATATATTGTTGTCAACATTACGTTTTCTTTCGATCTACTTTATATGGAGATTTTTGCGTAACGTAACTGGTCTATTTTTAATTGTTGACTCATAAGTAAAAATATTGCTGTAATTTGCATTAAAATGTAATGGCGACGATAGATTATGTTGGTCTGCTAGAAAATTCCCATTCTTGAGAGTGGAAGCTCACCTGTGATTTAATACTGACACAATAGTTAGGTGACCCAGGTAAAATTTTTCGGGGAAGTATTTTAATAGTGTTAGCTGAAAGCAAGCCAAACATGTACAGTTTGTAGAGAAAGGTCCTGTATTTGAAACGCCCATTCATCACGTGTGTTAGTTTAAATTACACTCTGTAAATATAGAGAAAAAATGTCACGCAAAAGTAGTGTAGTAGTGCAAAAGAAATAACTAACTTAGTTACCACATCACTGGGTAATTTTGTTATTTACCAACATAAATCAACAAGTGACAGATCTTCATATTGTGTAAAGTTCGTAGTATGCAATCGATTGTCATTCGTATCACACAGAATAGTTTATATATGTTTCGTATAGAAAAACAGTAGGTAGTTCAGTATATACCGCTGACCAAGAAATACTATGCCGTGATGATATTAATGACAAAATAAAACGTTCGACGTTCTAGAATTACACTATATTGATTCGTCTGCTACTTGTCTAACCTCGTCTGACCCCTAGAAGACTCGCCAGACCACCGATCATTGATCCACTCAATCTATACTACTCTGATCTAGTATGATTAGTGTTACCTATGCTGATCATCAAACTTTTTATTTCACAGCCAGGTGTAAACCACAAGATTGTAAATTTTGTTTTTTGTTGTTAGTTTCTAAATTAATAAAGTGAAGACATGTAGTCAGGATGATTCATTTGTTTAAATAAGGAAATTGTGACATCAAGTTTAGTTCAAGGATTAAACTCTCATAATTTTTGCTTTTCGCGATTCAAAGAAAACGTGGGAAATCCATGAATAATGTGTCCATTGTACCTTGGTCGTACGCATACAAGAAACGAGTCAGTCTTGAGCAACCTGTTTATTTATTGACTAAAATCAGATAATTGCACGGTAGGTGTAAGTAAAATAATTAATAAACGTAATAATTATCGTTGTATTGATAATAACTATATTAATTTAATAATAAACGTAATGAATGTAAGGTGTTTGTGTTAAATAATAGTCGCAACGTGTAGTGTACAAAGTTGATTAACTGCAAAATATCTGCATATAAATATGTTTCTAAGGTGTTTTGTTTTTTCCTTCGTTGTTTACAGTTATTACTATTGGTACATTATACACTTACCTGTGTTATCTATAGAAAGAGAAAAACTAAATCAGGCTAAAGTTATTTATTGCTTGTTATAAATTCATAAATCTATAAAGACTTCCTGTTCCGTGCAGTGACGGTTCTATAATTAAATTAAAAGTTTGTGTAGGTACCCGAACGGAAATTGTAAACTATTCACAGAAAGTACGATGAGAATTTTTTGACCTAGAACGAAGATGCTCAGATTTAAAGCACACACAGGTTACGTTTCCAGACGTTTCTGAGGCCGGTCATCATTAATAACGAATTAGTGAAATCACCTTCGATCACTTTTTTATATGCAAAAATGTTTTAAAGGTCATTTTACGCTCACCCAGACGACCGGCATGTTCAATTTGGCGGCACAAATATTACATAATTTACATAAATAATTCAACGTAACGATAACATTTTCCAAAAATGACATACGTATTATTTATGATAATGATATGAAGACATATTCAACTAATTGTTTATTGTCAATTAATAAGAGACGTTGTAACAAGTTGTAAACAGTGTTAAGTACGTTAGTTTTACGCAATTCGAATTAATCGCACGACCGGGAAGTAAAGCACTAAGTGCGTCTTTTATAATATATCAAATGTAGCGAATTTTTTTATTTAAGTATGACATTTCAAATGTCAGATTTTGCATTTATGGTTTATGTTGGGGACACTGCATTGTCTGTCAACAAAGTCTAAATGTCGAAAAAGTGACGTTTCCCTTTCAACGATTATTATTTTGTATAAATTACAAGTCCCACTCTAAATTATTGCGACTGACCGCCAAACTTAAACACTAAATTATTTAAATGGTATTTCTAGACCATTCCATTGTTTTGTTTGATTCTTTGGTAATGTTAATACAAAATAACAAATTAATAAATGTAAGTTTTAACTATTTATCAGTTGACCTCGAACTATGTTTGGAATTTAATAAAAACTGCAATATAGCAGAGACAGTTCTGCAAGTTTTCGACTGATTTGTGATATCGCATCTATGAATAGTAAACCTTTCACAATATTATTTCTATTTTCCAAAATGTCAACATGACATTTACACAAAATCGTGAAAACGCACGAACCCCGTATTACAATGCAAAATCCGACTAAGTAGTACAGTTTAGGCAGACATACTTAAGGTCCTTAAAACTTGTTTGAATAACTATGCAAGTTATTTAAAACGCTGAATAAATATTTTCTCACAACAGACAGTGGTTCAATGATTACATACCGTCAGTCCTCGACGATTGTGGCGAGAAAAGCAAATCGCAAAGTATTTTTACCGCTACGTTTATACCGTGCCACAACAGATTAAATAATAATGATGTCATTATAGTGTCCCTAGTAAAAATTCGAAAAAAAAATCCAAAAATTTTTATTACCTGCGCAGGTATCTGTACTTTAAACACGTGAAAAAAAATGGGGTCAAAAATCAACTTGGTATTCCACCCAAACACCTCCAAGCTGATTTATTATGTAAATATCCTGATTTTGTTACCTGGGTATATCCTTCGGATTAGGCGGGCTGTGAGCAATGAGTTAAAAATAATTCAGGAACTGTGAAAAAGAATTTGATCGCGGTGATGCTACAAATGCTAATACTTTAAACACACAAGAATGGAATTCCGTAAAGAACCAGTTTTGCCATATTGGAACTAGTTTCAATTAAACCAATTTGAATATAGACATTGGGTGATTGATTCTGCTTCGCTTCATCACTTTTCCTATGACGCGCTGATGTGACAGACATGTGACACCACAAAACTTTCAATAAGAAGTCGCTTCTGTCATAAAATTGTCAAAAAGGTCAACGAAATTAATACAATAAAGCATGATTTTCCTTGCCGTGAAAGAATCCTAAGAATTTTGACTACACACCTAGACAAATTTACAACTTAAGCGAGTTCGGTGGAGGAAAGCTTAAACGCTTACCTGTCGTTTCCCCCGTGTGGACTTTTCACTAACTTAACGGCAAACAAGAACTGGATGGCGCACACTAACAGACAACATAAATTAAGAGATAAAGTCAACGCACATAAGGCTAACGTCACTTCATACACTACCACGTACTCCTCGGCCGTTATCACTGTCAATTGTTCAGCTCTCAACAACTCTCTTATATCGTTCGCAGTCACTGGTGATATCTTCAGAAGAAAAATCAACGACAACAACGCCAACAACAAGCTCACTAGACACAGTAGTCCCAAACTGACCAACATCTCCTTAACGCCAACTTGCTTCGATTTGGCGATAAATTTGTTGACGGTGCTTTGATTTCGCACCCTGGAGATGTTGAGTCCTCCATTGAGGGCCTTGTTGCCGGGCGGTAGAACCGTGTTGCTGTAGATCGAGTGCTTCGAGTTGTCCAGGTTGTTCTGGGAGTGCAGCTGGGACACGTTGAGGGGGTACTGTTGCGATATCCTCGAGCTGTTGGCGTTTGGTGATCGGTACCTATGGGCATTTTGGTCGATCCGAGGTTCCATCACCATGGAACTATCTGGACGGGATACGCGGTTTGCGACACCCCCGTTTGTATTTAACATGTGCTTCAACATCTCGCCGTTGTTGAATCATTGGATCAAGTGATTCAACTTGATAAACGTTGGGCTGAGATGTGTACATATTTTTTTCATTTTGTGCTACTTGATTTGCGAGTTCTTTATGTCCACTTGCGGTTTCATTATGTTGACTGGGTGTGATCCGAGGGCATGGTGCTAGGCAAGGTCTAGAACCCAAAAAAACAAACCACAATTCAACAAAGTTAATAATAGACGAAGAGATTGTAGTAAGCTTTTGTAGTAAATTACATAGTAAACGTAAGTTTGCTTAAACGGAACACCCAATATATATACTTAGAAGAGGAATAATAATATAAATCTGTCGCGCTTTTTTAAGTTAATTGCGAAAATGGAATTTCTGAAAGGTACTATGTTTCTGAAATTTAGCAAAACCTGCGCAGAACTAAACGCTTTTAACAGGACGACTACGCAGGTATCGATTTTGGTGAAATTGGCTTAGAATAAAGTCATACAGTTATAATAACAATCTTCCTATTCTAGACACAATAAAAACATTGTAGCGAAGAATTATAGGCTAGGAAAACAGTTGACTGATTTATGTTCATTATGAACTGCGAAACATCAAAGTGTACATCTTCGAACCCTGCCAAGATTCCAGTCCGAAAAATATTCGCTGGCACCTTGTAAATTAACGCAAAGTAATGTACCTCTAAAAATAGAAGCTGTTTATGTATGCTGAAATATAAATAAACCCCTTTCTCTTCATTTTTTACATGATTAATTACTTATCCTTCTTTATATTATATTTATCAGTTGTTTTTTGTGCCATCTTTTGTTATATATTGTACCTCACGTATGACAAACTTAAGCAACAGTACGCCTGCTGTAAGTGATGAAAGTGACATTTCGTCGTAAAAAATGATGGCACAGCTTGTCATTAAACCTAGCTTTTACCGTCTGAGACACTACGACTCTGGGCTTATCTTATCAGACCGATAAATTAGTAAACATTAAGGTGGTTTTTGATTATTTTCGGTCGGTTGTTTTTCCTGAAAATTGAAATAACTTCTCGTTTCGAATAAATGGGAATGAACTGCACGACGTTGGGGTTATTATTATAATTAAAAGTTGAGAAATAAGCGCTACAGTTATTGTAATGCTTCATGTATAGGTGGCGCCGATTTTTCCAAGGGGCCAATTATTTTAATTTAATGGTTATTTATGCAAATAATTTAAAATATTATGTAATGGGAAATATAATCACGCCTTAGTGTTTAAATACCAAAAGCCATTTAAACTTAAGACAAGGGAATATCATCAGAAAATTTGACATGTTTCGATTCATCCCTCCTCCGGAATTATTTTATTAGAGAATTATAGTTCGCAATAATTAAGATAAAAATAGATGATAATTAAAGATTCAAGGTGAACTAACAGTTTTGAATTTTTTCGAAGTGATTTGTTTACACAAATATTCTGGTTTGTTGGGAATTACACAAAGGAAAAAATTTTGAATAAATCCGGGTGGTCATAAAGTGATGTGTACCGCTCGATTAAAATGGAACCATGAGCGTAATTAGTGTAGCTCTAAAATTTAAAATTTATACTGCAGAGATTGACATTTAAGATATTATAAAATACTCGGATAATTAATTGCAATTAAATTTTTAACGACCATTTGTGAGTTTACTTTTTTACACAATTTCGATGTTTGCGTTTTATATTTGTCAAGATTTTATTATACCTTTAAATGTTGAGGTCATTGAAATGTGCACAAGTGGCACTTTATTAAAAACAATATTATATATTAATGATAATAATAATAACAATAACTGTGTTTGCTTCCCAGTCGAGCAGTGAAATTACCCACACAATTTAAAAAGTGAGTACAGTACGGTCATAATTAATTGCATCAGTGATTATAGTCAATTTATAACGGATTTAACGAACTTTTCCCTCTAAAAAGCACCTGTTCAGGTCCGGCCAAGACATGACATTCGGGGTCTTAATTGGGGAATAAAAGAGCAATAAAACCAGATGATGTGAAAGGACCTTCACAAATAAACAATCGATAAACAAGAGCAAACTCAAAACGACGATAAAAAATATTTTTCGTGGTTAATGAAATCAGGTAAAAAATCTTACACATCAGGTTTTAAGAGGCACTCTGTAGCAGGTAGTAAGGTTAATACGTGGCTGCAAAGGCATTATTCCAGCTGAATTTTGTCACAGAATCACCGTAACACTACACAGCTATTCAAATTTGTCAACAATACCACTCTCCTATCACTGTATAACTGGTATTTTTTCACTGGTTTCGAGTGTTAGCTTAATAGGGGAAAGGTGCGTACGCATTAAGAGCCACAAAATGTATTTACTTCTTTATAGCAACGGCACCAACTAACCGATTCTAGCGCGTCGAATGGTTAATTTAAGAACCATTCTACAGTTCAAGAGGAGTGGTTTCTGTTGATGGAACCAATGGTCGGACGTATCACCGCTTACCGCCAAGCTCAAATCATTTGGGCGATAACGACAAATGTGTACGGTTCGGTTCTGCACGCACCTCTAGTGGTACCACCATTCCACCACGCTCATCCACATTTCAGTAAATGCCACCATAAAACCATCGCACATCTTTTTCAGCCAACCGCACTGCGGTTACTTTCACGGACGAATTATTTTTCTAACGGCGGAAATTCCTTTAGGAAACGGTTTAACTAAAAAAATTCGACAGCTGTCATCTTGGTTGCATAACCAACGCGCGTGGGGTAATGTGCATATTTCAATTAAACTGTTGCAATTAATTATCACTCTTCGAACATGAATATTTAACAGAAATAGCTACATTTGATTACAGTTTATAATTAATGCAAATAGTTTCGTAATCACATCCTGAAAAGCACGTGAAGAAAAATAATTAATATTGTTTATAAGGATGGTGTCGCGTGAACTAGCAGGTGGTGCTTGATTTAGTTTTAAACCGAATATTTATTTACTCTCATTTTAAAAAATATGTAGTTACGTTTTATTTATTTTCAGATGTTGTGAGACCATCAAGTCCAATTCGCGCGCAAGTTTTCATCTTTGGGTAACCTGCGCGAAAATGAACGCTTTAACGACACAACTGCGCAAGCAGCGTTGCCATATATTGCAAAGTTACTTTAAATTAAATTAAAACAAAACATTGTTTCCTAGCGATTATGCGTAAGTTGTTAAGTGACTTCATTTACACTGAATCATGTGATTTTTGTGGATCGCATCATTCTCGAGTTTATTTATACATAGCGCTACGATTTAAATGTATTCAGTTATAGCAATAATATATATCAGTGCTCTGTAAAATATGCATACAGATATACAGCCCGGTGTTTTTTTTGTATTGACAGTTTTTGGCGCGATAATTCAAACAAAGTATCTCGTCTTAGGGAAAACAAACAAGCATTGATCATGGAGAAACTCATTTATTTATGCAATTTAGTATTACACAATGGAATGTACAATGATGCACAAGGTCGTACAGTTTTGACATGATGCACATAAACTGTGTTTAAACTAAACACGTAATTCTATTACTATTACAATTTTAGATATTTTTACAAGAAAAAGCGATCTGTGGTCATTTATCTCCATGAACATACATAATAAAAACAGTGTTCATCCCAAAAATTTTGTATAGCTATATTTTATTACAGTGAAACATCTTTGAGCCACTTAACACATATTAACTCGTAGTGTTTATTGCCATTGTATCAATAAATTAGCCGTATAAAATTTTAATTGATGCATTCTTGTTATGTTTACGTTATACGTTGCACCGCTACATCGTTAAAGCAAGATTTGTTAGAAAATGATCAACAAATCAGTTGTCGTAGGTACAAACAATCATATTAAAAATATACGGTCGTCTCCTGATCAAAAGTACTAGGATTAAAGTTCAACATAACATTAAACTACAATGATAGAAATAGATAACACATTCAAACTGAATATCATTTGATTGTTTTATACAAGCCACAGATCAGTCACGATTTAACAATGTTCTCTTTTGGTGACTAGTGTTTGCCATGATTGCAATATTATGAAAGGTTAATCATCCCAATTATAATAAAATACTTTACGTGTTGCTAAAATAGTCTCTAATTAGTCATAGATATACATTGTTTGAAGATTCAAGAAAATGTCAACATTAAACAATGTCTAAAATGTTTACAAATTACAGTTATTTTCTTACAGACTACAACCATCGTTTTAGTTTAGACTTGGTTTGCTTGCAGGGAAATGATTGTACTCTATAGAAGTTACTCACAATAATGGCAAAAACAAATGAAACAACAAGTGGCACCAAATACAACCCAGAAACATCTTACAAAAATGAAACTCGTAAATGGCCTAATATATTCTCATAAAATACTATCCTAAACAAAATTTAAGCCCAGAATTTCAAAAATTATATAATAATACATTTGGAATATATTAATAAGTAGGTTAGCTCATCGACAGTTGACCCAGAGCTAATAGCCTTTCTACAGCAGCATTTACATCACCAAATGTAGCTATTAAAGCTTGCAAATTTGCTTCTCTATTTACAAAACCCATCGATGCCAATTGCTCTAACTGTGTTTGGTATCGCTGTTCCGGGGGGAGCGTCGTGTCACGTTGAGCTGCCATTCCAGCAACCATGCGTGCCATAAACTACAACCAACAACATAAAATAACTACTAACTACACAAAGACACAGTTACCTCTGAGAAAGGATCAGCAGCAGCAGATTGACTTGTGGTAGTGGTGCCTGATTGAGTCGTTGTAGTGTTTGCTTGAGTCGTACTACTAGTAGACGTGGTTGTGGTAGTAGATGGCGTTGTGTTAGTTGTAGTAGAAGTACCAGGAACTCCGAACGTGTTCACAAGATTAGGGGCGGTTTGCCTCAAAGTCTCCATTCCTTGGTGAATTTGCATAATAGCATTGAGAGCCTGTCATTATTACACACAACTTTGTATTACTGCGTCAAAAATCGACCGTATAATCAACTAAGCACACTATTTTTGTACACTGATAAAATTTTACAACCTAAAAACAAACGCAAACTAGGACTTAACAACTTATAAAATTTTATCAACATATAGAAATGGCGTGCGAGCAGTACATATAAGTTGACCCTAACCTAACTTTTTCATTTTTGTCTAATTAAAACTTACTTGTGGATTAGACATGACGTTTTGTATTTCCGGGTTTTGCAACTGTTGTACGATATTTGGAATCATTGACCTGACTTGCTCTTGCGTCTGTGGACTTCCAGCTAATAACGGATTATCGGCTAGAAGCGCAGACGCCATGTTGGGATCGTTCGCTAAGGCCTCCAAAACACTTTGGGTGTAAGGTGCAGATAACATGTTTTGCATTAATTCCGAATTTTCTGACATCTGTTGTAGTAGACTGGCCATAGATGGGTTATTCATCACTGGTCTTTGTCTATTCGTTGAAGTACTAGTGTTGTTAGTGCTACCACCACCCCTTTGGCTGCTATTCCAAGGATTGGGAAGCGGTTCCCGGTTTTCGGTACCCTGTTGCGGGTTGTTCCCGCTCAAATTATTATCAATCAACCCTGCGAATGGATTGCGACTGAACTGTTCGCTAGTTGCCGAAAACATTGGTTCCTGGATGTCCCGGTACATCCTCTGCAGCGCGTTGTACCCTCCGGGAATACTTTCTAAATTACTTATAGCCCGATCGTGACTCCTCATCAACTCCTGCAACATTGACGGATTTCTGGCCAATTCCATCGTCTGACGCAACAATTCTGGATTATTAAGCATGTGATTTATTTCAGGGTTACGCTCCATAAGTTCCTGCATTTGAGGGTTTCGGGTGATTAGTGCTCGCATATTTTCAGGATCGTTCATTATTCGTTGGACAAATGGATTATCTAAAAGTTGCCTGAGCATATCGGGATTATTCAGTAGTTCCGTTTGCATCCTACTCTGAATTTCCATAAAATTACCAGAACCTATACCTAATGCGTCCAGACCGGCTAAACCACCCAACGGACCCAAATTAAACGGCGTCGCGTTGATATCCGCTGAAACAGACAAAGCTTTTAACCACAAACTAGCGCAAATCTAGGCTCAACTAATCGTCCCTAGAGTCTAATTGCTTAGCAATTAACTACGCATGCGCATTATGCGTTTTGGTTACAAATAGATGGGTGTACCCCAAACGGATTCTTGTGTAGAACTTTCCGTCCATTTTTTTAAAAAGCATTGTAGAAGTATTTTTCAAAAATAAACACACACAACATAATACTACATACTATGAATAATGTATGTTAATACCTTATGAAAATTTCAAATGAGTCTGTTACGTAGGCTTTTGGATAACTGTTTGATAAACCTAATTTTTCCAAGATAACGTTAATACTATACGGGTTAAAAATAGAAGCGGGAGAAAAATTGAGCTATACATTCCAACGGACACTTACTTAACAAAATTTTGTCATCTACTTCTGTACGCGATTAACATTTAAAAAGTAATCAGTTACGTGTTATATTTCTAGGAGCTGCCAAACGTCTAGAAAACAAGAAGTAAAAAACATTTCTATGAACATGAAATATATATTTGATATTCATGGTCTTTATGGAAGTTAATACATGTTGTTTACCAACTCATAAAACGTAGTATACCTTGCAATTTAATACACATTACCATAGAATTATAAAAGTACGAACAATTAAAAACACTTTGCATATGCATGTAGTTTCATTCATGACCACAATACTTGTGAAGCGGTTAAAAGTGAAACTCAACCTCAATGGGTATCAAAGATTTCCACTTGGGGTACATTTTCATGACACCCATCAAATGACAGTATTGACCCGAGCAAGCACATCTATGCACTTTGCAATGTATAGCTGCCACAGCCTATGTAAGCTGTGTACAGTTTTGACGTACCTGGTGGTCGCGATGGTCCAGATTCAGTGGTTCTGGGCACAGCCCGAATAACCAAATGAATAGTGAGGCCGTCTTTGATGTGGTGTTGATGTAGGGTGTCATTATCCTTCATGATTTTTCCAGCGAATATTAGGCATAATTGATCAACATCCGCGTTAAACACAGGCGCTATGACCTCTTTAAACTACAATAAGGAAACAAATTAAAAGAATTAGGTTATGAGAACGTCAAGCAACTTACCGCTTTAACCCCGATGTCTTCGTCGACTTCGAAATTTTCCTTCTCTTTAGGAGTCTTCACCGTAACCGTAATTTTCTTTTTCGACTCAGAATCCTCACCTCCCGTGGGTTTTTCGTCGTTTTTCTTTGAATCAACCGCATCATCGTCGGCCATGTTTGTCTATAAATGATGACTGGTTATTTTTATTTTTTACGAAGAGCGTACGCAGATTTATGGCCGCGGAATGTTCTGGAGGGGCAAGGACGCAGTTTTCTGGGAAAATTTCGGGGTTCTTTATTGGATTTTGACTTATTACTGACCTGACAAAACGAATTTGCCACACACAGATAACCAAATCACCGAAAATCACTCGCTGAACTGTTGCCAACTTAAAATGTGACACAACTGGTCAGGAGCGGTAACTTAATAGATTTAACCACGTCATGCGTCATACCAGGCATTCCATTCGAGCAGTAAATCAAGATGATTAATTTTTGTTATTGTTTAAACGGCGCTTTTGTTGCGTCTTATTACGAAACGATCTCTATAGAAACCAGTAGCAGACGCGACACACTATATAATTAACTAAATAAAGGGAAATACTATAAACGTAAATAGTTTCTCAGTTTACGCACTTTTTCTGCTTACTTTTGAAATAATGTTGTTCAGTAGTAGATAGTGGTTATATCATAGACTGTGGACATGTGGAATGATGGGAGAGTTCATCATTGTTACTCTTATTATTATGTCATTCTTTGTAGGTCCTTTGTGCCCTTTTGTGTTGCATTGCGTTTATGTCTATTGTGTTACTATTACTTTAGTTAGTGTGTAATCGGAGGCTATTTTTATTTATTTTAAACTTAAAAATTCTGGCACCATAACATAATTGTAGAGCGGCACATTTTGAAATTTAAGGCCACCTTGATGCTTTTTTTGTCTCTTGGGAGTTGGTGTTCGAAGGTCGAGTAGAAAGTTTATCGTTTTTTTAAATAAACTTTTTTCGTGGATTTTCCATCATATAAATTTTTATTGCATAGGTAGCTCGTTTGAGATAACATTTCTTGCATATTTGTTGTTGTTTGTTACTAAGCAGTGTGGGATTGGGAAAATCGTGACATTTGGATAACGTGGTCGATAATTTTGTGGACAGTGGTGCGCATGTTCGAATTAGGAAAATATGAACGAATTGTCTTACGTACTTTTATTCAGTCCCTTATTAACACATTCATCACAAAGTCTCTAAACTATATTACATTAGTAAATAATATAGCGTCTACAACAGTTTTAAGGTTATTTATAAAGAATTAAATTTTGAAAGAATGGAAATCGAAAAAATCCTTATTAAAATAGGTATAACGTTATGAGCCATAATGTGAGTGAAATGTAATATAATGTTAAAGTACTTTTTATATTTGCTTTGTTCTTTTAAAAGACTAACCCTAAAACATTGATCTAAGTTCTAAAACTATAACTAATTTTATTAACATTGAAATGTATATAATATATAGGTATGTATATTTTATTCACAGTCATTTTCTTTGGCAATATAGTTTCTGCAGCCGTACTAAAAACTCATCGCTGTTAAACTTCTAACTAAATAACACTACTAAAACTAAACAATTTGTATCGTGTAGGCTAACAAAATATTGCACGTCGTCGACTATGATACACTGTCACTTAACAAAGTGAAACCATATTTCATATGGTCAACTAAAAAGTGTACAATCAATAACAAATAACGTTTGTAGATAAAAATCTCATTTTTTCTACTCATGTGGAAGCCATTTTGTTTTCACCGTTTCACACAAAAAATAGATCGTTTCTTCAATAATTAAAATACATGTAGCATCATTTCTAAGTCTGCGTCTTAAGTAAGTACAAGCTCAAAGTGAAAAATTGTACTTATATAAGAAAAAGCAAAAACTTGAAACCTTATCACAAGAGTTGTGCAATTACTGGTTGTAATAAACACATATGTTCAGCCCCGCGTATCGGTAGCCTGTTTATGCAAAAATGGCGGATCATTTCTGGAATCGAGTGGAAAGGTTTGCTAAATTGCCCCAAAATATAGCATTCGTCAGTGCCGTCTCGTTGGATCCTCATGTGCATGAAACCCCTTGCGCTCCTGCAAAAAAAAAAAAAAAAATCGAATGAACGCCGCTGGTTGCCGTGGAAGAGTTACAACAAGAGAAAGGTTTTCGTCTCTGTGTTATGCCTCTTCTCGGCTTAGAACAAAACCAAACAAAAATTACTTTAACGAAAGCGAATAGTCCTGTTTGGTCGACTCGCTATTCCTAACCAGAAAGCTTCCTTCCCGTAACATCCTGAGTACGTTTTCTGCTTCAACTCGCGTTATTGCACCATGAAACCATCTAGAATCGATAAAAGCAACAATAATAGTAAACATCGTTTAAGTGTTCCCCGCATTCCCTTATTTTTACAAACTTACCCTTGTTTTTCTAGTGGTAAATTGACGTCGATGACATCAGCTGTTGATGGGTTTTCGGGATTATTCAAGTTCATACCAAGTCCTACAAGAGATAATCCTAGGCCTGGACGTTGACGCATGTCTAGCTCCCCTAAATTTAGGGTTAGTTTTGGCCGGAAGGAAGAGACTAGAAAAGAAGAATCATCAAAAATTATCTTTTATGCCCGGACCTGTTATAACCCGAATGGAAAGTTCAACACTAACGGCGTCATAATACGGAATCGGGGATCGGACCTTCGGCCTAGGTGCCATCAGCTCAACGTTCCTTGAAACGCCTCTAACGAGATGCGGCACTGCGGTATTTCAAAATCGCTCGGATCAGCTTCGAATTTTGCAAATCTATACTTAAGTCGTGCGACCGTGTTAGCGTTTTGTTGCATAATTAACGGCGCGGTTAGAAATTGCAGGAAAATTAACCACAGGAATTAGGTTTGAATAAATTTCAATAAATTTGTGAACTCGAAGGGTTCACAGATTTACTTTTGGGAGCACCGTGTCGCGGAACTTACGCATTCTCTGCGAGAATCCGTCGCGATAAAAGTAAATTCCGTGTCGTTTGGTGTTATTGAATGATTCGAAATAACTCTTTGGCGCGAGTGCGGTGCCATAAATTCGTAAAACGAGCTTTTTATGTAAATGTGGCGGAGGCGCCGGGACGTACCGTGCATCAATCAATTACACCATGCAACAAAATGGATACTTTTTATTTTCACTAGGGTAATGTTGCAAGATTTGTATCTTGTACCGTGGACCTGGGTCAGAATACCAGAATCCAGAATCGATTTGGCGCCCCCGGTGTTAATATAACTAACGCGCTCAATCTTGAAAGTATTGACACGGTGTCCGATTAGCGGCATTCAACGAGAATTTGATATGATTTCGGAACGCGAGAAGTCCACGTGATCGATCGGCTTCCGGCCCTAACAGGCGGAATGAAAGAGAGTTAACGAACCTTGCCTGTCGGCCTCGATGACACTTTGACTGGAGGACGCCTGGGACACGCTGGACTCGGTGCTGGACTGCTGTATCCGCAGCCGTCGGCGCAGCTTCGGCATATCGAAGGGCAGATCCCGGAGATCGACCGAGGTTGCACTGCCCGAAGTGCAGGCGTCTTGTGCAATCATCCGCCTTCGTCGCAATTTTGGCATATCGAATGGCAAATCAGAGAAATCTTGTTGACTCGGTAATTCGGCTGCGGTGAAGCCGAAGCGAGACTTTATGCCTTCACGCGACTGGATTGATATTCCGCTATCGGAACCCTGGATTTCGAGATCGCCCGTGTGGAACCCCAAATTTAATAAGTTCTTGTTCTGAGGTAGACGCCGTTTCACTTTCATGGTCTCGGGAGTTGCCGCTTCTTCGGGTGAGCACTTCTGAGAGTTGTTGTTGCGGTTGTTGTCGGAAGTTTCTGAGATTGGTTCCTGAGATGATTTGTCCGATATGGGGCTCAATATGTGTAACTTATTCGCATGAGCTAAAAAACCAGAATTCTGGGTCCCACAGTAAGCTTTAGAACCGCCGCTATCAGAACTATGCGAACTTAAAGAAGAAGACTGCCTACTATCCGAACTCGTCGTACTTCTATTCCCCTCACTAGTACTACTCTTAATACTTTCCATACTCCCACCACTACTACTAGTTGTCATACTCTCTGTACTAGAATACTTATGTCTCCTACGTCTACCCTTAAACTCCAAAATATTCTCCTTAGTTCCCTTACTACCTCGTTTTAATAATAACAATTCCTGCCTTGGCCAGTCTTTTATCTCAAAAATTCGCTCTTGATCGCCGTCCTTCGATTGACTAGGCCGTCCTTTAAACTCCGAGATAAGTTTACCATTTCCAAATTCTATCTCGAACGCGTTTCTCTGTATCTGCAAACTGCCACTACTACTGTTTGGCGAACGTCCCCTCAGAGACTTCACCGGAAGATGCAAATCTTTTAATCGTGACTTCGGATGTGACGGTAAATTCGGGGCACTACGAATACTGTTCATTACCAATTCTTTACCGTGGAATTTTGTTGGGAGCGGGGCAGTGGACGGAGGGGATGGTGTATAACCTCGCAAAGGCAAGGATAAAGCCCCAGAAACGACAGACGTTTCTTCAACTGGTAAATGCATATCCTGAAATTCACACATACAATTACCAAAACCCACTGAACATCACACCTTCCTGTAAAATTTCGCCCTTAACGTATCACGGCTTTTGTGGCAAAACACACACTCGGTTTCAATCATATAGGTAAAGAGAGAATACTAAATATACTCCGGCAAAGTTAAACATGTCACACACCCAGTTATGACCTGCGGATGCTACGTTTGTATTTAGAGGTGGCAGAAACCTTGATTTTACAGAGGAACCAGTAATGAATCTTGACAGCTGTCACATTTTTAAACAATTTTTTAGCTTTCTATAGTACCCCCACAGTGTGAACAAATCTCACTTCCGAAAGATGGTTGAGTTGTACCTTAGAACGGACGTAGTTGTGAGGATTATTGGCCACTATCTATTATTTAATAGTGTAAACCAATGTCAACTTAAGTGGAACAAAGTCCAGAACACTCTGTTGTCTCTAATAATGAACAGTTACTATTGGCTTGTATCTGTAACTTAAATTTACGACTTGGAGTAAACATCACGTCAGGATTTTGCAGTTGCCACTTTTATTAGCTTTGACCAGTCACGTCTAATAGTCAGCCTAGATGATCTCACCATCGGAAAAGGAAAATTTTAGGTTAGATTCCACGCTCTGACTATTTAAATATTGTCCTAGTACCCAGAATCTTAACCTCAAATCCACTCAACTTGTCTCAGATTCCGAAAGTGAGACGATTTGGTTCAGTTTCGTGTTCTGACGGCTATATTTGTCAAATTCTCAAAAATACTGGCGGCAACATCTGTCGCATGGTTTTCGAAAGTTTCATTTCCTACGGGAACCGAAAAATTCAATCTAATAAACACTTTTTTCAAGTTGTGAGCATTCCGGATCTCCCAGACACTCAGGTGTGTCTAATTCGTCTCAGATTGCAAAAAGAAATTGAATCCGAGTAAAAGGTAGCGCTATCGATAGAGAGCGTTTAAATTTACTAAACTGTTAAGCTAAACAGCGTGTGTGTCATAGCGGACGAATTTTACAGAAAGGTGAATATTCGATGAAATCGCGGCATGCGAACGAGTTAATGGCGCAGCAGGTGGGATAATTTTTAATTAGGTGAAAAATCGTGATTGTAGTTGACACTTCAGGGGTGACTATAAAACGTGTTTGCGTAAGAAAAATCGAAGGAACGAGTCCTTCATTTTAAACTGTTTGAATAAGATAAAGTAGGATGTAAGCAAATAAACAGGATTGGACCATAGGGGTTTGAACAGCACTCACTGAAACTAAAAGGTTTGGCAAGTTATAGTGACATTTTCAGAATACTCGATTCAGGGTTATCCTCGGACCGCACGATCTGTGATATATAAGGGTTGCGCGTCTTCAATCAGATGATCACACATGACTGTGTTTTATAAAGTTTTTCATATTTGGTAGGGTTGAGTAAACACGGATTATTCTATATTTGCTTTGCCTCTCCTTGAATACGATACTGCGTCGGTTGTAGGAGTATTACGCGATAAGTTCGGAAGCCATAATTTAAAGATATTCAGGCCGAATGAGCCCTAACCGGATAACACAATGTTCGGTGGAAGGAGAGGAGTTGCAACGTGACTTTTTATTAGACGCGTTAAATATTTACGGCTCCTGTAACATGCAGTATGGGGTGAAGGGATGTTTACCTGTAATTTCTGCGAGAGTGCGCCGACGGAGTTATTGTCCTCTTGGCTCGGTTTGGGGCAGAGCAGCGTGACTTTTCGTCTATTTTGTGGTGTATTGCTATCAACGGACGGTCCGGCTCGGTTTTCCCTCGAATTATTCAGTTGAACGAGGACAGGATGGTTTGATACTTTATCAATTTGATCTAAATCGTCATCAGACTTGCTAATGCGACAGTCGAAAGCGGTTTCGTATACATGCCTTTGGCGTGTCATTTCGTCGTCTAAGCCATCGTCCGGAGTGAGACAAGCACAGGGTGAAGTCAGTCTATTTGGAGGCATAACCGCCTCATTAGGCGCATCCCTTGAATCTGTACTTTGTGTGTCAACACTAGAACTTTTTTTATATTTCAAACGACTATGCGACCTGGCTCGGATTGGTTTATCTAAACTCGGATTATCTAAACTAGAACTTTTTCGGTACTTCCTACTCTTGTTCTTTTGATTGCTATAATTCCCTTTTGATTCTAAAGCATCCTGAGACGACTTCGGCTGAGGAGGCTCCGATTTTACTTTAGCAGGACACGGTTTTGGCTCTTCGATTTTATTTTTGTATAAATCGGCGTAATAATAAGGTGATGGATGACGTTTTATGTCGCTACGATTAGGAGATTGAGCGCTTATTTGGGGAAGAATTGCTTCAGCTATGCTGTCTGGAGAATTCAGTTCTTGCGGTTTTGTCACGGAAATGTGGTGGCCGAAGAAATCGTCATCAGATGTAGGTTCGGATGAACCCTCTGCAACAAAATATAGTTCTTACGTTTCTAAAAACAACTTCTTTTCACACGTTAGCTGAAACAAATAAACATAAAGAATCATACAACTTCTTCTTAGCTTTCCCGTTTCCGTCTGTCTGTCTGCTGGAAATTTACTAAACAGATAGAAGTTTATAGAAATTTTAAAAAGACACTACCTGTGAATCATAAAATTCGACCAAAATAAGATTTTCAGTAAAATAGCTTCAAAAGTAACGCGTCTAAAGTTTTTTAATCAGATTCTAGAATCTACAAACGCCAGAATGTGAAAAATTAACCCAATCGTTTCCTTTTCGCAAAATAAGTCGATTCTACATGTCGCAAGTACGTTGAGTCGATCAAAATCATTAAAACAAGTCGAAATTTACTTCAGAACTCATAACATTCGGTTAATGTTTTAATTCTAGCATTTGTAGATTCCAGAAATGCGTCAAAAACTTCAGAAATGTTAATTTCTAACCATTTTTTTGTGTTTTCTAGCGTTTCAGGCACCTACGGACCCGAAAATAAACAGGAAACCATCAAATTTTAGCTAGAAATCTTGTTTTGGTTGAATTTTATGAGTTCTGAAGTATATTTAAACTTGTTTTGACGGTTTTGATCGACAAGACGTACTTGCGATATGCAGAATCTACTTATTTCGTTAAAAAACTTGAAATGACAAGCTCTAACAATTACGATGTCTATTTAGAAGTAGTTTTGAAAATAAAGGTCGATTTATAAACTTGCCGTTGACGTTGCCGCTGCACGATAAATACGCAGCGAAGGTATGCGTCATTTATATCATCCGTTGACGTTGCCGTTGAAAGTTGGCGTTGCCGTTGACGCTGAGTTTTCAACCAATTAAACTGCGGTCATATGCAGTGCTGTCAACTTGAAAGAAAAGCACCTGAAGTAGGGGGGACATTTTTCTGGGTGACAGCACTAATTCCACGAAAATCAAATTTTGATAGATATAATGAGGTCCACTATTATTCAGCCAATTAATCGCCTGTTCACGGAAATCATCATGTTTTAAATAGTTACTATCATTTTATACATAGCTTTCTGTCACATGACTCAAGCGGCGTTCGCTAAAGACAGGCCTGGAAGCGGAAGTCGCGATGGATTCGAGAAAGCCCTCGATTGCGAAACATCAAGAAGGGAATATGGGTTTAAATGGAGGGCACCTTCGGGAACGAGATTATTGAGTCGAGTGTAGTCCAGACGAGCCAGTTAACCCAACGAGTGTCGAGAAAACCCACTGAATGTTGAGCCGGAATTATTTTGTACATAATCGCTCTGTAATTAGTCGTGTAAATACATTGTTAAGTTTACCCCCGCCGATTTTATTCACCGCTCAACGTAACAATATTATAACTACAGGATGTAGTCTTCTTTTCACAACAACAAAGGTAAAACGTGTTTAAAATGGTAAATTTTTGTAGAAAAGTATCGATTTTGCAATTAGGCTCCGCCCCTCGGTCTGACAACGAATGAAAAATTCATCACAATTGAGATCTAGACGGATGGGCGGGGCTTCTCTTTTGGTTTCCTTTTTAAATTAATTCATTTAGGGCCGGTTTACAGAACAGCGAATTAAATATTTAATCCTCGATTAATTTAACAGAGGATTAAAATGTGGAATATGATGGACCTCAATTAAAAGTTAATCGGAAATTAACTTTAATTTTGGTTTCTATAAACCGGGTCTTAGTATTCTTTGTGTAACATGATTACCTAGGAACATATTTCACATGATAATTTCTCGTAGAAAAATAAGGATTTAACAATTAAGCTCCGCCCCTCGGCTTACGACGAATAAAAAAATCATCACAATTGAGACAGGGCGGGTGGGTGGGGCTAATATTTTGCCTTTTGTCTCTTAATATACATAGACATCTTTCCACAACAAGACACTTAAAACATGGTTAAAATGGTACATTTTTGCAAAGAAATATGGATTTTGCAATTATGGGGCGGAGCCTAATTGCCTAATTGCCTAATTGCAAAATCGAAATTTCCTTATACAAATTTTCCATTTTAAACATGTTTCAGTTTCAAGTTGTGAAAAGAAGTCTACACATATTAAACCAAAAATGTGACCCCCCCCCCCCCCCCACCCTCCCTGTGTCAATTGTGATGACTTTTTTTATTCGCCGTGAACCAAGGGGGAGGAGCTTAAATACAAAAGACTTATTTCTTTACAAGAAATTAAAAATATGTTTTTGAGTATCGTGTTGCTCAAAAAATACTATATACATTAGGAAAAAAGGGCAAAATATAACCCTGCCACCCACGTAGTCTCAATTGTGATGATTTTTGTTTTAATCGTCGACAGCTAAAGGGGCGGAACTTAATTGTAGAATCCTTATTATTTCTCTACAAGAAATTACCATTCTTAGAAAATTAAAACACTTTTAAAATGGTAAATGGTAGACTCCGCCCTTAGATCTGCCAACGAATGAAAACTTCACCACTATTTAGATTAGGGCGGTGCGACTTAATCTTTGGCTTTAATTTTTTCTTAATATACATAGTATTTTTTGAATAACACGATCCTCAAAAATATGTCTTACATGGTAATTTCTTGTAGAGATATAATAAGGATTTTGCAATTAAATTCCACTCTTTTCGATCTCGACGATTAAAAAAAAATCATCACAATTGAGATAGGGCGGATGGGGGGGTTTATATTTTGTCTTTTTTCTTAACATACGTAGTCGTCTTTTCATAACAAGAAACTTAAAACATGTTTAAAATGGTAAATTCTTCTAGACAAATATGGATCTTGCAGCTAAGCCCCGCCCCTCGATCTGACAACCAATGAAAAATTCAGGTCGGGCGGGTAAGGGCGGGTTCTAATCTTTGGCTTTACTTTTTTCTTAATATACATAGGAATCTTTGAACACGATGCTCAAAAATATGTTTTTAATTTCTCGTAGAGCAATAAGGATTTTGCAGTTAAGCTCCGCCCGTCCTTGACGCACGATGAATAAAAAAATCATTACAGTTGAGATAGGGTGGGTGGGCGGGGCTACATTTTGCCTTGTTTTTCTTAACATGTGTAGACTTGTAAAGAAACTTAAAACGTGTCTAAAATGGTAAATTTTGGCAACGGGAACTTCAACGTCAACAGTAAGTTTATAAATCCCATTTAACGGAGGACAAGAATTAAATATAAAACAGCGAATAAAAAAAGCAACGAAGTCTGCTATAAATAACGGAGTGGCGTTTATTGTGAAAAAAGCAATATCAAAGACAACCAAACTGAACATAAAGCAAGTTACCTACAAAGGTTACCTGAAACATTGTACAGAATGCTGGGTAGAGTTGGGATAAGTTATAGGTAGAGGACACAACCGACAAAAATGTGTAAATCCGCTTGTTGGCGGCCACATGTGGGAAAGAAAAGGGAACCAAAAACACACTCTGGTTAGTTATGGAGTGTTCACAAAACGAAATGACTGTTGAACTTTTATTTTTACTATATATTTTCGTTATATCCATTCGATGAAGACATATCCGCTACAAATTCCACTGTAAGAAGGCTACGAATAGCAACCAGCTGTAATATTTGAAATAATCGTAACGACGGGCAGTGAATGTCGGTTTTTGGTCCGGGCGGTAACGCAGCAATTTTTCATTTTTATGGTGGTCTTCATACATTCTCCCGTTCCTTTGCAATTTTCCCTTTCATCCCATAAATGAGGGTCAGCGATGTAAATAAAAATTTGATGGATATAAAATCCGGCATACCCGCACAGAAAGGCCGGCAAATTTACAAATAATTTCTTTTGAAGAGTCACCGAGCGGGAAAAAGTGCAATATATGCGTGGTGGCACGCAATAATGCGTTGCATCGTCTGACCATTAGTATTTTTTACCAAATCGAATATCTACAAAGTGATACGAGATTATTAGAAGAAAGAAACGGGGAAAGAAAATTGCTTTCGCTTTTCTATTGATGAATGGAATATGAAAAATTGCTGCCATTGTTAAGGCATTATGTGGATTTATATGTGGAGTGTATTACGTATCGATTTTAACGATAACTTATACAAGAAGGTCCTGTACGAAATTCCGGTTCGGGGTAATAGATTACAGTACACGTTTACCTAATTCCAACCTTCGCACTCCTAAAACGCGAATAATTATCCTTTTAATGTGTCTGCGTTTGCGCTAAAAGATGGTCAATAAATTACATTAATTGTAAGTGAAAGGGGTCGCTTTCAAAAAAACATAATTTATGACGATTATTTCCTCGTAAAGGTTTCAATACTTTTTTCGGGCGCACATGCTGGATATTAAAATTTTGCTCTTGAAGGGTCTTTTATAACAGCGTGAATGTGGAAATGTTACATTTTAATCCCACAACTACAATATTGATGTCACATCTGCGTCTCCATTGTCACAGACAAAAGAAAGAATATCTGACGCGTCGTTTTGCGAAATACCTTATTGCAATTTTTTATCTGAATACATATTAAAGTCATGCATCATTCAACACATTTTTTATTATCACTAGATGTCGGTGTCAAAAACGCGGTTCCTTTTAAATATACATCAATGGTTCACGATCACTCAAACTGTCTTGAACTAGTAGCAGACCATTCGTGACCCTATAGTGACACTAATGACATATGTAGATATATGTAATCATGGACGACAAGGTTTGTTTGTCTCGCAGCTGCCAGCAACCAAGCTTGTATGTAACCATATTTTTCTTTCTTTCATAAATAAACAAATCCCTTTAATTGTGTTTACACGCATAACTTAAATGTTACCAAGGCAATTCTCTTGCTTTGTAAACTTGGTAGAAATTCCAATAGCAACAACAACATTGTAACAAACTTTGGTTATTTGCGTTAAATTTACCTGGAGGTTAGAACAAGCTTTGTTTTGTATAATGTTACGTACACATATTTTTTATTGTAGCACGTTTAATATGAAACTACCACTACATTAAAATTCTGTAAACGCCGTTGTTGTAGCTTGAAGGCG